GCCTGAATGAAAATGATTAACAAATTCAAGGACAGGTGAATAATACTTAAAACAATAATTTTAAATAATTATACCATTTTAAAAAGACTCAGGCTAGGAATAAATTTTCATAAGCCACTGAGATGTGTAGCAAGATAAAATCATAGAAAACGAAAATACTTCTTATGGTCTTCATTTTGCTTAAATACTTATCTTTTCAGGTTCAATTAGTACTGCCGATGGTTCTGCTTTAGTGAAGCTGGGAAATACTACAGTAATTTGTGGAATTAAAGCGGTAGGTTTAATATATGTCTTACTGAGATTTAAGTTACCAAATTAGCTTCATATACTTATTATAGACACCTATAATTCTATTGTTGATTAAGCAGTCAGGTGTCAGTTTTTTAGTATTTGTTTTCATTTTCCAAGAGCTTTCACCTTTGAGTATTAGATAATATGACCCAAGTTTAATGAGTCTTAATTTATGAACATTCACAAAATACTAAATAAAACCATTTTAAAAATCCTCACCACCTTTAATTTTTAGAAAATTTGTCATTTGAGAAATTGAGAGATATTTGTGACATCCTTTTGTCCCGTGATGGCATTTAATCTGTGCAAATGTGTAGAAAATCGAGATTGTTCAAAAGAGAAGCCTGAGGGGACAATAGCTACTATTTACTGAGGGGACAATAGCTGCTGTTTACTGGGTATCTGCTGTATTTCAGGCACCTTGTATTAGGTGCTTTACAGATTTATCCAGTTTATTCCTCAGAAGAATCATTTGAGGTATAATTTATCTCTTTGTCTCCTGTTTTACAGAGGTTCAGTAATGTGTACAGGAACATGTCTCACAAATAGAACTTAGATATAGCTGACTCCAAAGCCTGTTGCTTTTTTGAGTATGTTGCACTCTGTGAGTTTATTTAACCTAAGTTCAGATTCTCCCTCCATAAAGCTGAGGTGTTACCTAATAATAATATTTGAGCACTTACTCCTTGCCAGGTTGTTAGGGACTTTACATCTCACTGGATCTCATTAACATTCCCTAAAAGTAGGCTCTGTTAATTTCCCATTTTACAGATGAGGAAGTTGAATGGTAAGAAATTAAATAACCTACCCAGAGTCTCTCAGCCAAAAAATATGGGTCTGACATTTGAACCAGGTCAATGATTCCAGAGCTTTTGCTGTTGCCCACTATACCATCAGTTCCTAAATCTGGCTGTCATTATCACCTGGGTTTAAATGCAGATTCTTGGCTACTGAATGAATGGAAGAGAGGGGACGCAGAAATCGAATTAATATTTTTTAAGAGCCTCAGGTAATTTTGATGAGTAGCACTCATCATAGTGTAGTCAATTATGCTATACTGCCTTCTTACCTTGCAGAGCTAATGTGAGGATTGGTGCTAATGTCCACAGAGCCCCTGATATGACTCCCCAAGCATAGTAGATGCTCATGATGTGGCAGTTAACTTGCTAAGATGGTCTTTGGTGGAGCCTTCTGTAACTGACTGTTAAGCTGTCTTCACAATTTTTTAGTAGCTTCTTTCATACGAAACATTTGTTTGCTTCTATAGGAATTTGCAGCACCACCAACAGATGCCCCTGATAAAGGATATGTTGGTAAGTTAAATGGTTTTGTAATTTTGATACAAATACTTTAACACATTTAATACTAATATTATAGTTAAGTCCTGGTAGTTGAGTTGAAGAAGAAAATTATTTGTAAGATTCAGAAATATACAGGAATGAAGCAGATATTCCTGAAAAGTTTTGTGTTAGAAGACAGCATATTAGCAAGATACCGAATTTAGTAAGTTTGTTTATCAAACTAGATCAATTTTTGTTTATACATTCAGACGTCATCAACCAAGAAAACAGACTCTCAGGCAAAGAGCTGTAATTGCAAACTTCTGTTTCCATGTTTTTAATTTATACTGTGTGATTTTCTTGACTTGGGCCATCTGTTCTTTATGCTAGGAACCAACATTTTAAAAATGCAGAACAGTTGGGTATGAGTAGAGGGGCTGTCTTCTGTTACAGATTGAGGTATTTTGAAAGAAATCTAGAAAACTCACGTGAAGGCTTTAGGAGGACTGAGGCCTTAAACAGATGTGTTTTTTTCTTTGTGTGGGAAAAAGAAGTCAGAAAACGTAAATTTTATTTTATCTAAGCCTAAGAGTCTTACTTACAAAGACCAAAAAGAACGTAACTGATGTGTTATAGTGCACTTCCACTTGGAAAAGCCTATCCATGGCTACAGTTGCCTTTGCAGTTGATTGTTAATACCTTTAACACTTCTGTAAACCAGAGGTGAAGTTTAGTTCATAGCTGCAGAGTGTTTCTTTCAGTTCCTAATGTGGATCTACCACCTCTGTGTTCATCGAGATTTCGGTCTGGACCTCCTGGAGAAGAGGCCCAAGTGGCTAGCCAGTTCATTGCAGATGTCATTGAAAAGTAAGATCATCATGATAAAATTTGACTTTGATTCATTTTCAGATTGTTTTTGACCTTTCATTTACTGTGCTCTTTCTCATTAAATCAAGTTCACAGGTACTTCAGAAAGAGGACTTATGCATTTCTCCAGGAAAGGTAAGAGGAATAAAGAAGCTATGAGTTTTTATTCTAAAGTGTTTTTTTGTGGGAAGAAGTAAACAGAGAAATTAAATAACCAACCACAGTAGCCTTAAATATGGATGTCTTATTGTTTTTAGATGGAACTCAGTAGACAAAATCAGTCTTACTCTGTAACTATCTATGTAGCTCATAAAAAAAAAAAATCAATTTTGACTAATTTATTGCCTGACTGGGAGCTACCTTTTAAGCTGAGGTAGATTTTTTCCCCTTAACTTTTACAGCAGATGATGCAGTCATTTTTTATTCCCTATAGCAGGTTATTAATATCTGATCAACTAATGTGTTGAAGGTAAATCCACACGGTAAATTCCAAGTCTGAAAACTTAGAACTGACAAAAATCTAGAGGCTTTTCCTATTTGATTAAATACTGATATATTAGCATTTTAAGACCTAAACATTTCATGTATTAAGGTTTCTGTGGGAAAGTACATTTTGAGTTTCATTTGGGACTTTTACAAGCATTTCCTGAATCTGCTAACTTAGTAGCAAGAATGGAAATTCGTTCTATATCTACAGCTCCCTTGAGGGAAATAGAGATGTTCATCACTTGTCAGCTTGGTAGTCAAAAGCCAGCTTTAACCAACCCTGTCCACTTTTTTTGGTTTATTTTATAAAGGTAAAGCTTTTTTTTTTAAAGTTTTTGAGCCTTGAAGGTTATCTTGCTTGTCTAAGCAAGGATTCTGTGGTTCTTAAGTTAAAGCAAATACTATGTTCTACCCGTAGGAAGGCTTTAATTTATACTTTACGTAAACTCTGTTTTAGCTTGCTTGGGTTCTATACTGTGATCTCATTTGCCTCGACTATGATGGAAACATTTTGGATGCCTGTACATTTGCTTTGTTAGCAGCTTTAAAAAATGGTAAGCAGCCTTAATAGAAAGCAGTATTCCTACTTAAGTGTCAGAATGTTCTTTCTGTTTTGTTAAACTTTCTCAATAAACTTCTTAAAACTTTTTAAGATTTAGCTATCATTCATGTGTTTCTAAATTAAAGAAAAACAATGTTTATATCCACTATATTTACTTTAATTGTTCTAAGATAATTTGTTTAAAAATAATACTTCTAGAAAGTTAAACAGAAGGAAAAGTGAATTACAAAGCATAGAAAGCCATATTTGTTATTTAAACCAGAGACTTACTTAACCTATTTCCTTTTTCTAGTACAGTTGCCTGAAGTTACCATAAATGAAGAAACTGCTTTAGCAGAAGTTAATTTAAAGAAAAAAAGTTTTTTGAATATTAGAACTCATCCAGTTGCAACTTCCTTTGCTGTGTTTGATGAGTAAGTTAATCAAACGTATTAAAAATGTATATTTAAAGTAATGAATTGTTATCAGTTTTCTAACTTTCTAGGAAATGCCTAAGGTGATCATACATCCTAGTTTGCCCTGGACACCTGACTTTATACTTGCTGTCCCTGCATAATTATTATTAGCACAATTATTATTTCAAAAGCATCCTGATTTGGATGATGAATTCTGTGCTCTCCCTACTTGTTCCTTGGTTTGCATACTACTGTGTAATGTTAATTTTCAATTATTTCACAAAAGATTTACCTTAGGCTATCTTCAGTATTTGCCAAGGATTTTAACATAGTCATAAATTAATTAAAGGGCAAAGATTCTTACAAGTAGTAGAATTGTAGCTTGCTTTATTAACTTTCCTGGTTTCCCACCAGTTCTCTTCTAGCTCTTGTATCTGACATTAGTACCTAAGCTAAAATGCAGGTAGTGAGTTTAGTATGCTTCTAAAATAAAATTTGTTCCATGGACTGATTTTACACTTTATTTTCTAAATAGCACTCTGCTCATAGTTGACCCTACTGGAGAGGAGGAACATCTGGCAACCGGAACCTTAACAGTAGTAATGGATGAGGAAGGCAAGCTATGTTGTCTTCACAAACCAGGCATGTTCCATTTCAGTCCTAAAAATGTAGATGAAAATTCAGTGTGAGCTTCTTTATATTAGGGAGAGCCAAATGGAATGTAGAATGTTTTATTGTTTACCTAATGTAAGTTTACTACAGTTTCTTTGTTATCTCAAATTCCTTACATTTTTATATTGTATACCAGTGAGTGGTTCTTAAACTTATGGCATGTATCAGAATCACTTGGAGGTTTTGTTAAAACATAACTTGCAAATCTTGATGCCATACCACTGGTTTACATCACTGAATTTTTTTGTTGTATAACTTGACACAATGTTGATCATGTAAAATAACAGATATTAAAAGTGTTGGCACGATAATTTTTCAGGTGGAAGTGGGCTAACTGGAGCTAAACTTCAGGACTGTATGAGCCGAGCAGTTACAAGACACAAAGAAGTAAAAAAACTGATGGATGAAGTAATGAAGAGTATGAAACCCAAATAAGCAACCACCACATTTTCAAAACAGACTTGTAAAAACTGTATTTGTTACACTGTGCACAAACCTTTTATACTAAATAAATATCAAACTACATTCTTTTGAAAGATGTTTCTAGTGTTTCTTAGGTCACTTCCATATGTATTATATACAGTGAAACCGTTTTTAAAAAGCAATGACTTAGACAAGCCAACCCTAATGGTTCATGAAACCATTTCCCTGTTTTTATTTAAAAATCATAGGGTTGTGCTTCTGTATAAAGTTTGTACATCTAGCAATGTAAAATACTGACACATTTAAAAAAAAACAAAAATGAAGGAGAAACTCAGAATCCTTTTGATTCAATGCTCTTATGTTTTTAAAAAAGAGAAAAAAATTAATGCAAGACTCAGGATTTTGGAGTGGTTGGCGTGCCTCTCTTCATTTTACTTTTTGACTGGCTGCCTGTATGCCGATGCCGATGTAGCTGAGCTGTTTGTGCTGCTGCTGCTGCCATAGCCATTTGATGCTGCAAGAATCGCAACTGCTGCAAAAGGGAGGGGAAAAAAAAATCAAATTATGTTAAATGTAGGCAGGTATGGAAAGGTGCTTTTCCTGAGAGTGATGAAAACAACAAAACTGAAAGGGAGAAAGCACCAAGATAACAAAAAGGGACTATACCACATTGAGACAATGCACAGTCAAACAGCACCAGTGGCACAGAAGCCTGCTGAGGGCTTTAAAAATGGTTCTTGGTTAACTTCAAAAGTATTTCTGTTACTTTGCCCTGCCAGTCTATATTGCAGTAACTCAGCAACTTCAGTTACCATTTTGTTGTATGATAGTTTATAGCAATATAAAACCACCCTGCATATTAAAGATAGTCAACTATAGTATGCTGACTTCTAACAAAATGGAATAACATTTTTCTAAAACAGGACATTTACTAATAGGAACACTGGTATACTTGCCTTTTTCTGCAGTACAATATTAAAAAGTTAACAATTGGCACTTACGACTGTCTATTTCAAAATATACCAGAAACTATAAAAATGTATGTCAATGTGCCACCAGCACTTCATGAAAGATTTTAAATTAGGAAAAGAGTATGACTTAAATGTACAAAATATATTCAGTGCTCCAAGTTGACTGGCTAAAATGTCAGACTTTTAAATAAAATTTGCTAAATTATTTACCAATTACTGTACAGTCTTAAAAGACAGTAAAATAAAACTGAAGTAAGGTATTTTGAAGTACTTTTGGAGCAGAGTATCTTTAAAAATGTAATCAGAGTGAAGTTGCTGGATTACTTGTATCTGTTGCTGCTGCTGTTGAAAGGCAGAGGAGAGCTGGAATCTCTGCTGAGGAAGGCTTTGCTCAGGTCTGTTCTCGGCAGAGCCAAGCTGAGACAACACTACAGAGAGGAGAAGGGGAAAGCAGGCCAGTCAAAAAGTTTGAAGGCTACCAGGGTTAGAAAAGGACAACACAGAAAATGAAATAGAAAAGTTATCAGTATGATTAATCTTAAGTATCAAATCACAGACATTTCAGAATAAATTTAGTTTAGTCTCCTGTTAGTTGAGGGTACCACTGATTATAGAACTTCCTGGACATGAAAGGGGAGTGCAAATGTGCCAAAGCACTGTATCTCTCTCTTTTCTTCCATCTCAATGAAATTTGATACTAGTGCTATTTTGTTGAGAAGGCTTTCTTACAAAATGTAAACCACAGTAGGATATTTTAAAGTATAATCAATAAAGTAGGAAAGGGGGTTGGGCGAAATAACTACCATAATGACATAACTGGTAGACAAGTTCTTTAAACAAAAGATGTTGCAATGAGTATCAGACAAAAGATGTTGCAATGAGTATCAGACTACACTATTAGCAACAAAGGTGGTGAACTGAGACTGTGCATTACTCCTTTTCAAGCTGAGGGGGACCACAATAATCAGTTCAACCCTCTCACTATGCAGGTGAGGAAATTTCAGACCTAGATGGTTTGCGTAACTCACTCAAAAGTAAGTAGTGGCAGGTCTGGAGCTAGGAACATTCTCACAATTTTTCAGCCTAGAGTTCTTTCAACTAAATCACACTCCAGCTATTTTAGGAAATCTATAATGTGTGGTAAAGGGTTATAATCATAAATTTGCATTTGGAAATTCACTAGCTCTAAATTAGGACTTTTATATAACACCTTGCTTATTCTAAATTTAGACACTGGGAGTTGTATAGGATTCTAAAGGCACTGTAGTAAGCCTTGTTACTTAAGTGATAATTCAAAATGTTGACAACAGGTTCATTCATTCAATCCTCAAACTCTATGACACTTTTCTTATTCATGTGGCTTACTGATTTTAGTTAAAAGTAAAGTTATAATTACTGTCTTCAATTGGAGAGATAATCTTCATTAAAAGTAAATCTTTGGTTCACCATTTACTGCTGGAAGTGGTGAGCAGGCATTCAGTATAATCTAATTTTTTACAAATGATAAAAGTGGGTTACAGAAATTATGCGACTGACCATTAAGTCTTAATTCATGCAACTACAAGCTAACAGAAGGAGACAAAAGATTACGCAACCTAGAAAAATGCGGTCTCAATAACCCAGGAAAACTGAAGCGTTAACAGCTTTGGTAGCTTCCTAGTAAGTTGGATAATTGTATAAAATTTTGCTAACAAACTGTAACTGAGGGAAACACAACTGCTATATGTAGGTCAAAGCACTTTGAATTAAACAACTGTCAAGTTTATGAAAAAAATCCCAGAGGGCCATCAATTAATCAATTTAATAGTTCAGATCTTAAATACAACTAAACTTTTTCCTAGTTACTGCTTGCAAGAGAAGGAAAAGAAATAATTAAAATGGTGAGATCCCAAATAGATTAGATACTTTTAGTAAATGCAACATATGAAGTTATGAAGATACCAACCAGCTGCCTGTGACTGCATAAAACTTCCTACTCCAGCAAGGTTAATAACAGCAGCGTGCTGAGCAGATAAGGCCTGTTCTTGGCTAGTTGAACCTTGTTCAGAACCCTGAATAAAAAAATAATAAATGACTTATTCAAAAAGAAACACAATTTTGAGTTGGTGAAAAGAAATTAGAATTTTTTCTATATGAGGAAAAATATCAACATTAGGTTTGTAAAAAGAGTAACATAAGGAAAAGACCTCAAAGGTATTTAGAATTAGCAAGAATAAATTTATGGTATTTTGAAAGCAAGACAATAAAACCTAATTATTTGGAATTGATTCTGTATTGGTTTATTGTTTGATGCTGTATTAATAATATAGCCTAAGGCTTCTATAAAGCTTCATCAAAACTACTTTTTTTTTTGGTGAGAAATATTGGCCCTGAGCTAATATCTGTTGTCAATCTTCCTCTTTTTGCTTGAGGAAGATTGTCCCCAAGCCAACATCTGTGCCAATCTTCTATTTTGTGTGTGGGACACCACCACAGCATGGCTTGATAAGTGGCGTGTAGGTCCGTGCCCGGGATCTGAATCTGTGAACCCTGGGCTGCCAAAGCGGAGTGCGTGAACTTAACCACTACGCCACAGGGCCAGCCCCCATCAAAACTACTTTTTAAGGCTTAAAACACTCTTTGCAACACTGTACTGGAATTTCTAGTGAGCACAATAAGTCAATAAAAGGCATACTGATTGTAAAGGAAAAAAGAAAACTGTCCTTAATTGCAAATGGGCATGACTGTCTAAAAAGGAAATCCTGAGGAATCTACAAAAAAGCTCCTAGAACTAATAAGTGAGTTGAGTAAGACTGCAGAATACAAGAACAACATATGAAAATTAATTCTATATACTAACAATGAACAGGTGGAGACTGAAATTAAAAACAATACCATTTACAACTGCTCAAAAAAAAAGAAAAAACAAAGGGAAATTTAGGTATAAATTTACAAAACATATACAGGACTCATATGCTGAAAACTAGCTGATCGTGGCCTCGCTAGAAACATACGGTGTTCATGGACTGGAAAACTCTCATAGTGTAGATGGTAAGTTTCTCCCAAACTGACCTATAGGTTTAACTCAATTCCTTTAAAAAATCCCAGCAAGGTTTTTTGTAGATATAGATAAAATGATTCTAAAATTTATATGGATAAGGCAAAAGATCTAGAATAGCTAAACAATTTTGAAAAAGGAGAAAACGGGAGGAATCACTCTGCCCGATATTAAGACTTACTATAGTCTAAAGAGATCAAAACAGTGTGGTACCAGCAGAGGGACAGACACATAGATTGATGGAATAGAATAAAGAACACAGAAATAGCCACACAAATAGAGCCAACTGACTTTTGACAAAGGTGCAAAAGTAATTCAATGGAGGAAGGATGGCTTTTTCAACAAATGGTGTTGGAGCAATTGGACATCAACACCCCACCTGCCATAAGGAACTATGACCTAAGTCTCACACCTTATAAAAAATTAACTGAAAATGGATCATAGATTTAAATGGAAAACTATAACACTGTGAAAAGAATAGGAGAAAATCTTTGGGGCCTAGGGCTAGGTGAGGAATTCTTAGAACATAACACCTAAAGCACAATCCATAAAAGAAATAGTTAACTGATAACTCAGGCTTCATCAGAACTAAAACTTCTGCTCTGAAAAAGACATTCTTTGCTACCACCTAAAATGTTGTCTGAAATCACATTTCAGTATATAATACAAGTTAAACATTTCAAAAGTTACAAGACATTTTTCTGGAGGGGACCTCCCCAGATACAGAAAAGAACTGCACAGAAGAGCACAGAACCAACAAACTGACAGAAGAGGACACTCTTCAACTCGGAACTCTGCTCATGAGATGACATGGAATAGAAAAAAACAGACTACATCACTTCCAATACACATCTACTATAAAACAAAAGAAAAAGCCCAAAATGCAGAAACAAAACAAAAGCCAGCTGGCACAGATTCTCCCCCTAAAAATACCCCACAAAGCTAAATAAACCTGCAAGACAACACCTCAAATGGAATTAAATATTATCAAACAACCTGAAAAAATGACTAAACACTTTGAATGGGAAATAAAATATGAAAAATAAAAGACTCAGGCTAAAAAAGTAAAAGAATGGAAAAAGACATACTACGTTAACATTAATCAAAAGAAAGAAGCAAGAAATATTACTAGAGATGAAGAAGGTCATTTATTGATGATAAGGGGTCAATTAATCAAGGAAATAACAATCCTAACAATCCTAAATGTATATGTACCTAGCAACACAGCTTCAAAAAAATAACCTTTAGCAAAAATCCAATAGAACTGAAACAGAAAACGCCATAATTTTAGTTGGAGACTTCAACACTACTCTCAGTAATTGACAGAACATGTAGAAAGAAAATCAGTAAGGATATGGAAGACCTGAATAACGCCACCAAACGACTTGATCTATCTTATCTTGACAGAATACTCCATCTAACAACAGCAGAATACATGTTTTTTCAGGCATACAGGAATGTTCACCAAGACAGACCACTTAAAAAAAAAACCTCAATAAACTTAGAAGAACTGAAAATATGTTTTCAGACCACAATGGAATTAAACTAGAAATCAATTAGATCCCCAAATATTTGGAAATCAAACAACACACACCTAAACAGCTCATGGATTTGAGAGGAATTCATGAGGGACATTAGAGAATATTCTTGAATGAAAATTAAGGCACATATATCAAAATCTGTGGAAAGCAGTTCAAGCAGTACTGAGAAGGAAATTTATTACCATTAAATGCTTGTTTTAGAAAAGAAAGGCCTCAACTCAATAATCTAAACTTTCACCTTAAGAAACTAGAAACAGAGGAGCAAATTAAAACTACAATCCAAGAAAATGTTCCAGAAATAAAGACCTGAATCGACATATTAAAAGGACTCACAGGAAAGACATGGAAAAGTAAATTCTGATGCATATCCTAATGAGAATTATAGACTTTAAAGATAAAGACAAATTTTCAGAGCCTCTAGGCAAACTAAGTAAGTAACTTACAAAAGCAAGTTAATTATAGAGACTGGTGTCAGACTTCTCAAAAACATACAAAGCAAGTTAACAGTGGGCAGCATTACAATAAACTTAAAGAAATCTGAAACTATAAAACTCTCAGAAGAAAACATAAAGAAAAAGCTTCATAACATTGGATTTGGCAAAGATTTCTTCAATATGACACATAAAAGGCACAGGCAACAAATGTAAAAGTAGATAAAATGGACTACATCAAAATTAAAATCATGAACATGATGTAATCTACACAGAAATTGAAATATAATGATGTAAACCTGAAATTTATATAATGTTGTAGACCAATGCTACCGCAATAAAAAAAAATTTTAAATCTTCTGGGCATCAAAGGACACAATCAAAAGACTGAAAAGGCAACCCACAGAGTGGAAGAAACTATGTGCAAAGCATATATTGGATAAAAGATTAATATCCAGACTATATTAAAAACTTTAAAACTCAACAACAAAAAAACACATAACCTGACTGAAAAAATGGGCAAGGGACCCAAAGAGACATTTCTCCAAAAACAATATACAAATGGCCAGCAAGCATCTGACAAGATGCTCAACATCACTAATTATTAGGGAAATGCAAATCAAAACCTCAATGACATTTCATCTCACATTCATCTGGATAGCTACTATCAAAAAAAAAAACTCCCAGAAAATAACAAGTGTTGAAACTTGTTAGGATATGGAGAAATTGGAACCCTTGTGCACTGCTGGTGAGAATGTAAAATGGTATAGCCATATGCAAAACAGTATGGAGGTTCCTCAAAAAATTAAAAATCCCACTCCTGGGTATATATCCAAAAAAATTGAAAGCAGGGACTTGAGAGCTATTTGTACACCCATGTTTACAAGAGCATTATTCATAATAAATAAAAGATGGGAGCAACCCAAATGTCCATCTGTGGATGAATAGATAAAAAAATGTGGGATATAAATACAATGGAATATTATTCAGCCTTAAAAAGGAAGGAAATTCTGATACATGCTACAACATGGATGAACCCTGTGGAAATTACGCTAAGAGAAATAAGCCCATCACAAAAAAGACAAATACTCAATGATTTCACATATATGAGCTACCTAGGGTAGTCAAACTCACAGAAACAGAAAGTAGGGGGAACATCTGTACAGTGACAGTTTATACAGAATATAAATTGTGCTGGCGAGCACAATGTAGTTTATACAGAAGTCAAAATAAAATGATGTACATCTAAAATTTATATAATGTTATAAACCAACGTCACCTCAATTAAAAAAAAGAATGAGCACAAAAAAAAAATTCAGAGCTTAAAAACAACAACAAATTGATTTAGGAAATAATGACTTAAAAGTTAATTCTAAGTTAATAACAGTCTTTTAAAATGGACAAAAAAAATGGTGGTTGTCAGGGCTAGAGGGAGGGGGAAACAGGGAGTTATTGTTTAATGGGTACAGAGTTTCAGTTTTGCAAGATGAAAAAGTTCTGGAGATCGGTTGCACAACAAGATGAATATACTTAATGCTACTAAACTGTACACTTAAAAATGGTTAATATGGCAAATTTTATGTTACATGTATTCTACTACAATTAAAAACAAATGTAAAGAAAGTGCAAATCAAGAATTTTATATCCAGCCAAGTAATCCCTCATGTGTTAAGAATAAAAAAGTTAGTTTTAAATGTGCCCTTCCTGAGAAATCTATTAAAGGATGAGCTTTACCCAACCAAGACTTGACTGAGGAATCTTTGGCAGAAGTCGGATTGATGGTGGACATTTCATATATTTAATTGTGAGCTAAGAGAGATGCTAGGGGTTGGGCCCAGGAATCAGTATTATTTAGTTTTCCAGATAATTCCTAAGTGTAGCACAAGTTCAGAAAAACTTATAGTTCCTTCTCTTTTCTTATTCAATTTCATTCTTTTTGGCAATATACAAGTATTTGTTTTTGTCTATCTTCCCTCTGCCCTAGGCTTCATGATAACAGGGACATCTCTGTTCTAAGAGACAAAATACTATAAACAGAAGAATGATGATTGGGTAGAAAACACATGGCCGATAAGGGCATAAAGACCTGGGTTTGAATCCCTGCTCTGCCACTCACTGTAGGGCCATGAGCAAGTTATTCACCTGAACCTGGTATATACTATGCAAGATGGAAGTGACATCATGTAATCAGTATGGTCACTGTGCGAATTAGAAATACCCACCCAATAACTGTTGGCTACTATTGTTAATAAAAACAGTAAGGAAATGTTTATTTGAACAAACTAAATAAAAGCACTTTAAATATGCTTGGAATATATAAAAAAAAGTCACAATTCTATAATATAAAGTATATGGAAGGCCAGAAAGCACATACCTGCTCCCCTGGCTGTTGAGGACTAGAAGTTGTGGGTTGCTGAGGTTGTTGTGGTGTAAACTGAGAGAGCTGTTGTTGCTGCTGCTGCAGAGTGTTAAAAATGAGCGAACCACCTGGAAGCTATTAAGAATTTAAATAAGAATTAATTAGCCAATTTCACATTATTTAAATTTCTTTACTCTACAAATATTTTTGGAGCATTCACTATACGTCAGGCATTCTTCTAGAGATTCAGGAAACAGAGGTGAACAAAAATCAAAACAAGTACCCTTCCCTTAAATAAAAAGATCTATTTGAAAACAATTTCTAAGTGCCATTCCTTTGGGCTCTCGAATATGTTAATACTCTCAAACAAATATTTCTGCTTCAAGTTAATAGCTAGCTATCCAAATATACATACTGCTTTTATTTAACTCTTCTTATACATCAATATAAAACAGCATTAAATGCATTAGAAAACATAAACAAGCCAGTGATAATCAGATATATATGTTAAGAAAACTCATCGCCCAAAATTTGCTCCAGCTTTACCAAAAACCAGAAATGCGTGGATTCTTATATACCAGTGAGGAATTCCAAAGGTGAAAAGAAAATGTTTTACGTGTCCACATTTAATTTGCAGACATTACTTACTGTTATTCTAAATCTAAATTGATTAAAAAAAAATACACACTTTTTAAAAGAAGCATTCAGAAAACTCCACATTAAAAATTAAAACTCTGTATTCTAAGTGCATCAGCAAACAAATGGTTTTTCCATTTTATTCATTCTACAGGAGTTTAAGTTATAAGCGTTTTCAAGTCCTTAGGAAAAAGTCCAAGGAAGTACTACCAAATACAGAACTCTCAGGTTTGTATAGTCAAAAAAAGGTGTCCTTGGGTCAAAATCTCTACACCCAGCACAGCTCACTGTCAGGTAAATTTGGACATAGCACAGGTCAAATGTTCTTTCCTCAATCAGTTAGATAATAAATGTAGCAAAATATAATTAATTTATAAGGTGGCTTTGTCCTTATTCCTTATTATCAGTGCTATTAAGGAATTCCACTCGACTGATCCCTGAGAGAAATTCCAACTGCAATATGCAGGAAAGCTGGCTAAATAAAGCAATGTGATCTGTGGTTCAACCATATTACAAGTAGATTGTTATGCAATTAGTCTGTAAATACTGACACTGTTTGCATCTTGTTTTAAGTTTTGGCTCTAAACGCATTTCCCGATTTGTTATTTCTGAACACCAGGTGGGGTTGTTCTGTCTGTTATCATTATTTCCCAATAATCCATAGCTCTGCCATTTTATGTCTCCAGATCTTTACATTCATGTCTACCTTTTCCAAAAATTCTCTGTAGATAATCTCATCCATTTTCCAACCTACTGGCTTAATACTGGACTCCATCCTTAAATTAAAGGACCTAGCATAACACCCAGAATATTGTAAATTCATAATGTGTACTAAATTTTCCACCTTCAATCTCTCTTTTATATGTTAACACTGGTAACATGTATAAGAAAAGCCTCATTATTAGACACAAACTACAATCTAACAAATGTTTACTGAATGACTATTAGGTGCCCTGCATTGTGCTAAGAAATCATATTCTCCTCAGAAAAAGAACATATACCTATTTTTAAAATCTCTATTCAAGCATGAAATCTGTCTTAAGCAAAGAGTAATACATATATGTATACATAAAATGTCTGTTGAGAGAGGAATTATTTTCTAATAATATCTACTGCTGCTATTGTAGGTAAGTATTCTCCTTGGTAGTCATTCTCCCCACTGAAACAGCTAGTTCTTGATTAGGCAGGGGTGCTGGATACCAATTCTTTTTCTTTATTCACTTGACCAAGCAAAGGTAGCAATAATTACCACAACCTTAGAAGGTTGTAAACAAACTCAAAATTTCAAATGCTGAAATGTACAGATATACAGAGGTAAAAAAAAAAAATTAAAGTATAAAAACTTGAATCAAAAGCAGTGTTTCAGGTTTACCTGGAGTAGATTTAAGGGCCTGAGACTTGAAGTATTTTTTAAACCAAATGGAACACCTGTTAAATAAAACTCATGGTTAAAATGGAATTAAGTTTATTACACTTGAAAATATTTTATACTTGAGTATATTCAAATACAACATTTTAAGTACTTTCTGCATAGATGAGCTTATTTTCTATACTTTTTTTTTCTTGGTGAGGAAGATTGGCCCTGAGCTAACATCCACATCCATCCTTCCTCCATTTTATATGTGGGACGCCTGCCACAGCATGGCCTGATAAGCAGCGCGTGGGTCTGTGCCCGGGGTTCCGAACTTGTGAACCCCAGGCTGCAGAAGCGGAGTGCACAAACCCAACCACCATGCCACTGGGCCAGCCCCTCTATGCTGTTTTTTAAGTACAAATGCTAATATTAATAATGCTAAAGAACAATGAATTCTGTGTAAGGAACAAACGGAAAGTCACGCAACAACGCTGTTAATTCTGAACTTATTCCCAAAAACCTGTGACCCAACATGAAGCACATCATAAAGCAGGGTTTAGCAAACTTTTTCAGTAGGCTTTGTGGGCCACATATAGCCTCTGCTGCATATTACTTTTCGTCGTCTTTACTTTTTTTCTCAACAAATCTTTAAAAATGTACAACTATTCTTAGCTTGGACTGTGGGCTGTAGTTTGCTGACCTCAGTCTTAAGTATCTGTATATTTTGCTCATTACCAAAATATACCAATTTGAACACTAATTAAAACTGTATCTAGTCCTCTAAGCAGATAACTGTATTAAAAAAAAAAAAGAGGCAGGAAATTGACAAGTGATAGTATGAAAGCCTTGGATAAGAAACTGAAAAAGCATAATCATATGAAACTATGACAATATTGATATCCTCTTCAGGAATTATAATGAAAAGAAATGATATAACTTTCTTCAAGGGTGAATGACAACTGTACAATGCTTTATAGCTTACCAAAGCCACTTCCATATCACTTCACTTATTTCTCATAAGTACCAACTGAAGTTTAAATATTCTTACTCTCATTTTAGAGCAGATGAAACTGAGGCTAAGGGAAAAATATTAAGTGACTTCTTTCAGGTCCCACAATTATCATTTGGAGCAACATGTAACTGGCAGAGTTACATGTAAATATAAACACCCTAAATTCAACATCTGACTCCATTTCCAGAGCTTCTGCCACTAGAGCACATTTATGCACATGAAAATAAGAACATAAGCTAGAATTAGGAAATTAAAGCAATGTGTTAACATGTTTATATTCTTTGGGTTCTCTCTCATAACTCATAGAAAGTTTTAGGTAAATTTTCCTTACAATGTCAAGTTCGTCTTTCCTATTAAATTTTTTCTCAGTAGTAAGAAATTGCATTGTTCCAAGATATTACAATATATTCTCTTATTCTCTTTCCCTTTCATGTTTTTGTTGTTACAAATTATCCCTTTATGAATTGTGAGTTTGTTACTAAACTGAAATGGTTCTAGTTATTTTTAATGCTTTATTTGTATAATAATAATTACTACAATAAAACTACTACTACTACTGATGATGACAGCAAGTATTTTTAAGTGCTTATGTCTCAGGCACAATTTAAATACTTTATCTGTATTTACTCATTTAATCCTCACAACTATGAGGTAAGGTATTACTATCCCCATTTTATTTATGAGAAAAGTGAGGCACAAAGGTAGCTGCCCATGATTACACAGTTAGGTTGCACAACTGGGATTCAAACTCAGGCAGTCTGGCTGCAGAACTTAGGTTTTTAACTGCCATGCTATGCTGCCTTTCTTGCACAATGTATGTTTTCAAAATACATTTCTTTTACCTGGAATAGGAGTACACTGACAACAATTAGACTATCAAAGTTAACTTTATTCTAATGTTTGGAAGGCAAAGATTTGTAGAGACTTATCAAGTTTCTTCACAGAAGTTGGTAGCTAGATGGTTTTTAATTCAAATATTAGAACATTAAAGGCTTTTGAAATGAAATAAAAAATACCTGTGACAAAATATTTCATGAAATATGGACATTAAATGTCACTAATAATACTCTTAAAATGACATTTTTAAATTAGCATGTACTTTAATTTTTTTAGAGGTTATTATTTCCAATATTCTGACCTGCTTGAGAAGCTGCCTGCATTGCACCGGGCAATGCATTTGGTAGCAGACTTCCTGAGGGTAGAAGGCCACTCAGGTTTATTCCTGCAGGAGTTATGGCACCAGTGTTACAGCCCAGCATAGGGTTTGAACCACTCATCAAAGCCTGAGCTCCACTGCAGGAGAATAAGACAAAGTATAAGTTGCAGTATAAAAGGAAAAATCAGCCATATAACAATCCCTTGGATTAAAAAACAAACTACTAAACAAACGCAATTAGATATTTCTGTCTTATATATCAATTTCAAGATTCAGTTTCATTTTTACACTAGAAAGTGACAGCAAAGTTGACTAAAATTAAGTACTGTCTATTTATCAAGGTTTAAAATATCATTTGGAAGAGTAAAGCACTAATCAAGGGATTAAAAGATGGTAACACAGAAGACGAACAGGAAAACCTAAGCTGCTGTCAACGTGTAGGAGCATAATCTTAGTGCATGTAACAGATGTATTACCTAAAATTAAAGCATACTTGTTGCGATAGCTTCTATCCGTATCTAAACTATTTTCTTTCAGTAGCAAACAATTTGTTTTTAATTTTACAAATATGAATTTACTCAGATTGGTAAGAATATCTTAAAAAAAAAACATCAGGGCATCAGTGCAAACTTACCAAACAGAGCCCACTACATTGATGAAGTTAAGTCCAGCAGAGTTTGCCATGACCTGGGTGGCCGTGGTTCCTGTAGTTATAGATGTTACCATGGTGGAAAGAGGAATGGTTGTTACAGGCATTGCCTGGCTCAGAGACCTTTGCTGCTGAGCAAACTGAGTTAACAAAGTGGGCTGAGGGGTGAAGCCTGAATCTTGGGGAGTAGGGGTGGCTGAAGGGGTAATAGGAGTTGAGCTCTTAGCATCAGGAGGGTGTGGGGTCGATGAAGGGGTTGGTGTAGGAGTAGATGGCTTAGGAGTTCCAGATCCTGCTCATTGAGAAAAATAAAAATTGCTAGTTTGTTATAAATGGCCAGTCCTTTTTAAAATAAGGTTAATGGAATCTTACTTAGCACTGACAATTTGTTCCAGTTTTTTTTTAAGCAGTTAACTGCAAGTGTTAATTTCTACACATGATACATGAGTGTTGCTACACTCAATTACAATTAAGGATGCAGTATATCACCTAAAAATCCCATCAGAGATGCTACTACAGTAACAGTAAAAATATACATTTGTATTCTACCACAATACCCATTTAAAAGTTAGTTTCCTACATGCTACCTTTGGCCTAAAAGTTTAAAAGGAATTCAAATTAATTTTTGTTATTTACAATTTCACTAATTTAGGACTCCATTTAAAAATATTGCTTATTTTCTGTAACAGTCTGAGATAAACTCTGAACATATTTAATAAATTACGTATGGTTAACAATCATATTTGGCACCTAAATATACATGTTTAATTCCTAACACATCAAGTTTATCCTGACAAACAAATTTACAAAACACAGTAATAAAGCAAATATGATAGATAATACTGCATCTTTAACAGTAACTGTGTACTTCTGTTTAAATGTAGAATGTATAGAAAATCTGTTGTGAATGAAGTATGCACAGTTTATCAACTTTTTAAAAAAAACAAAAACAAAAAACAAAAACCGAAAAAATAAAACCAAAAGCTCTTGAGGTGTTTTCTTTTTTAGCTTTCATGTCCTGCAGAAAGAAAGGAAAGAAATGTGAATGTCCAGAAGCTGTCACTCAACCCTTACTTAAAGTAACAATTGTGTGCAGTAGATTAACATAATCCATACCCACAACATAAGAAGTGTGAATAAGACTTTCAGGAAATTTATAAATTTTTCTTTGTGCAAAACAAGAAGGCAGAAAAATTACACCTTTTGAGCTATCAAGATGAAGATGTTTATATCTAATGCAAAGACCACCGTATCACTGTGCAGTGTACTAAAACTTTCAGCACACGTTAGTTACCTATAAAAAAATCTAAAAAACTGGAATGCTTTTTTGCAAATTGGTGTCTAAATATCTCAGATATTTACTGATTTGAAGAAATTCTGCCAAACTAATGCCAGAATTCTTGTTTAATTCCTTCATGTTAAAAAAAAAGTATTCAGTAGTAAAAATTACATTTTAATATCTTCAGAATAGTGCTTTATGATCATCACATTTTAGTAACTGACGACAATTTATAAGAGTGTAGGAGTGTTTTGGAAAAGTCAGCTTTCAGTTTATTGTATCACCACCTTGGAACTAGTTGGCTTCTCATATACAAAGAAAGGACTGCAGCAACAATTCTTATGACATTTTTTTCATATCAGCTGCATAGTTTACACAAAATGTAAAATGATCCTAGGGTACACTGGAATAAAAAATATTTTTGATCTTATTGCCATATTTAACTACTAGATTATTTTTTTAAGGAGATGTGTAGGTTGTAAGTCTATAAGAAAGGTATACACAAAGTGCATACATAGATACAGAAAAACAAATACAATTACAATAAACACATAATACATACAATCAACAAGAGATCTGCCTAAAGCTTCTCAAAACTTGTACTTTTTGGGTACACAGTACATTCAGATTTCACTATTTCACTGGTCAAGAAAAGCTGTTTTAAGAAACACTAATGCAAAAGCTTATCAAGAGTTAATGAAGAACTTAAGTCATGACTCACTTTGTGATGAGCTGGCTGGTGACAGGGCAGCTGGAGAAAGCATGCTAACTTGATTGAGATCCACAGATGACTTCCGAGAAAGACTTGGTGGCTTAGAAGCAGGAGGAGGAGTTGGAGATTTAAGAAAGCTGCTGGCCTGCTGTGGCGTAAAATAGTTACCTAGAAGAAGAATTTAAAAGTTATTTCCCAGATTTACAATTCAAAATTCTGCGAATTGTATAAATCAAAATATGAGCAAAGTTTTACAAACAATCTATGATCGTTATGATGTTTCTTACTCTAGACTACACAAAAATAAGGAATACAATACCTGAGGAACTATTTCCTGAGCTCGAGGGAAGTTTGATGGGTGGAGGTCGATGTTTTACTCCCTTCCCCAATACTGAAGACTGAACTGACACAGTCTCAGGCTGCTAAGAGACAGCAACATTAAGTATACTTGTTAAAATTTAGGTCAAATCAGAAATTCATAAGTTAATACCACTATAACTCCTAAATGAAAACACACAATTTAAAACTCCGCGAAGTACTCTTAATGGTTATAGATTAGCTATTACAGATGTTACAGAAGAATATAATTTCCCATACAGAGATCCATGAAATAAATTACAGTATATATAAAGGATGAAGGAAGGATTTCTGAATAATAGGTGGGGAGAAAGAGTTTGAGGGAGAAGGACAGAGTAATAACATGAAGGCAAAGCTTCCACCTTAAATTTTTCCAGGAAAATAATTTAACTGTTGAAGCCAAGTGCTTAGTATACACAGGTGTTCATTATACTTTTCACTCTATCTTTGTGTACATTTGAAAATTTCCATTGTAAAAAGTTAAATAATAATAATTTAAAAAGTTAAAAGTAAAAATAAAACTAATGCCCACATGACCCCCAAAACAGCCCTTAACATTTCTGAGATTCCTTGAGAAAACATTAGGCACAAAAAAGTAATCAAACACACTTCTGTTTCTTTCCCTGGAGAAAGCTGACTCAAGCTGGCTGAGCCACTGGAGCTGTGTGACATCTTGACTGGGCATTTGGCTTCATTCTGGACCAATTCCTGGTACTGATTGACTACCCTGAAATATTAGGGGGAAAAGAAGTAAGGATTAGCTAACTCTGTTTTAAACACAAATTTATTATATAGGAAATGAATAATAACTAATGAAAAAAATGTTCCATCAAAACACAAAAATTAAAATTAGACAATTTATCTTTGTGTTAAAAGTATATTCTAATCTTTTCAATGACAAGCTAATGCTCAAAAACATTTTGCTAATTAACAACCTAGAGATATACTTTCAGTATCTTATTTGTAATACAGAAATTACAGGGTTATTTAACCAATCAGCAGCCAAAGAAATTACCCAGTGACTTTCACTTAGATTCTGATTAAAGTACTATCTAGAAATCATCTTCCTTAGCTAGAATAGAAATTTCTAAGTTTTCTTATTTAAAATAAAACTATATTTTGCATGTTATTCTTTTAATTATTTTCCTAAATATTAGTAATACCTAAGACATAACTAAAATGAAAGTTTAGACTCCTAATGGAGTACTCTCTATCCTCTAAGAGTGAACTTGTTCAAATCAATCCAGATCAAAAATAAAGATGCAAATGTTTTTACCTCTCCGCATCAGTCTTTGATCCAATAACGAACCTAAAATGTTTAAAAAAGAGAGAAAAGTTATTAGGTAAGAGTTGTTGTAAGGAGCCCTGGGAGTACTTTTGAAGGCTTCCTTATTTTAGCGATAGGTAACTTATAAATTGAGTTAAAATCAACCAAGATATCATAAAAAAAAAAAATTAAAAAATACATTTCAACTTATGAAGCAATGACCAAGTTTTGCATGCATTATTAAATAATCCTGTGAACAATTTGGCTGATTTAATTTAAGGGAGATTTATTTGGGCACAAAACTTATGTACCAAAACAAAATCCGGGTTGAAAGTTACCAAGTGCTTTTACACCCTTGTAAGTGTCTGCCCTATAGCAAAATTCACTGAACTATGGTGTGCAAGGCCTTTGGCCTTCCTCTCACGTCAACTTCTGATTTTGGAAGTCATTATTAATGTCTACATAGCAGGATCTTAGAATATATTTTAGACAAGGAAGATAGTTTATTGCCAATTCAAATAAAATGTCTTTACCAAGTCTTTTTAAAGAGTTTGACATTTATATGATTTCTTAACAGATTAAAATAGTCAGTTTGTTTATTTTTTAATTACCAATTTGAATGATCATCTGTGGAGGAGCTGAAATATAAAATGTAAAAAAAGAAAAAACTTGGTTAATGCAGCTCAAACTTTAACTTCATAGTTATTAAATCAAGTAATTTATGAATATGGAAGAATGACTGGAAGGTAATAAATCATGCAGCATTTTTGCAGCAACTCCCTGATGTAAAGAAAAAAATTCAATTCTCTTCTTGTTAAACAAATCTAGTCAGTTGGCTTTCTGAACCAATTTTTTTTTAATTATTAAAAATAATATTATTCCCTTGTGTTCAAGAAAAGTCAATAAGTTTATTTAAAATGACCAATGTATGTCTTTAAGGGAAAGATTTTTAAAAATATAGGTATGATTATCCCCCCTTATCTGTGAGGGATACATTCCAAGACCTCCAGTTGATTCCTGAAACCACAGATAGTACCGGACCCTATATACACTTTGTTTTTTCCTGTACAATACATATATATGATAAAGTTTAATTTATAAATTAGGCACAGTAAGAGATTAAGGAGATTAATGACTAATAATAAAATAAACAATTATAACAATATACTGTAATAAAAGTTACCATAGATCTTAACAACCTCAGCATATGATCTGCTTTCTTTCCTTATTAAGTCGAGAATATTCACCTTTTTCGCTTTAAAAGAAGCACTTTACGGCTTCTCTTTGGCATATCCGAACTGCCAGCATCACTACTCTTGTGCGTTAGGGCCATTATTAAGTAAAATAAGAGTTATTTGAACATAAGCATTGTGATACTGTTGACAACTGATCTGATAACCGAGATGGCTACTAAGTGAACAATGGGTGGGTAGCATATACAGCATGAATATGCTGGACAAAGCTATGATTCATGTTTCAGGCGGGACAGAGTGGAACGGCTCGAGATTTCATCACACTACTCAGAAGGGTACACAATTTAAAACTTATGAATTGTTTATTCTGGAATTTTTCATTTAATACTTTCAGACCACAGTTGACTGTGTAACTGAAACCACGGAAAGCAAACTTGAGGATAAGGAGGGACTGCTGTAATCAAAATATCTGATCTTTCTACTTAGTATTCAACAATAGAAACCACTAATGTAAAAAAAATTAGCTGAGGATTCCCTGACCACTACTATACTATTTCTTCCCATCAACTTTTTTTTTAGGTACTGGTGAGGTTAATGTTTAAAATTCATCCTTCTGCTGTAGTTTCAATTAGCATTCTATGTAAGGCTTTACAAATGATTTAACATAGACCTGGCCCCTGCTTTTTCTGCTGAGCTCCTCTTTTTTATTCTTTTCAAAACAGCATCAACTTGATTCAAAAAGAAAACTAACAATAAAAATAAATACATGTACAGCATGACCATAGTTAATAATACTGTATTATATAGTCGAAAGTTGCTAAGCGAGTAGATCTTAAAAGTTGTCATCACAAGAAAAAAAATTTTTAACTATGTATGGCGATGGATACTGTGGTGATCATTTTGCAATACATACAAATATCGAATCATTGTGTTGCACATCTGAAATACATCTGAAATATAATGTTATATGTAAATTATATCTAAATAAAAAAACTAAGTACTAGTACCTGGTACTAAATAAATGTAGTACATAAGTTTTGGAAGATTAACTATATATATTTCTATAGCCAATAACTATATTAAGCATAATCTGTGTCTTTACAAACAATGCTGAAATACCAAGCATCTTTATCAACTTTTACATTTATAATAAACTTGCATCCCATTTAAACAAACGATTGCCTGGAAACACTTCGTGCTCACAGAGAGGTTAAAGAGGCAACACAGAAAAATACCAAGAGGGATACCACAGGCATATCCCTCAAAGCAAATATAAAACTAATGATACCATAGGTTTTTTTGTGTGTGTGTGTGAGGAAGATCAGCCCTGAGCTAACATCTATACTAATCCTCCTCTTTTTGGTGAGGAAGACCGGCTCTGAGCTAACATCTATTGCCAATCCTCCTTTTTTTTTTCCCCCAAAGCCCCAGCAGATAGTTGTATGTCACAGTTGCACATCCTTCTAGTTGCTGTATGTGGGATGCGGCCTCAGCATGGCTGGAGAAGCGGTGTGTCAGTGCGCGCCCAGGATCCAAACCTGGGCCGCCAGTAGCGGAGCACGTGCACTTAACCGCCAAGCCACGGGGCCGGCCCCTACCATAGGTTTTTTAAAAGAAATTATTATTATTTTAAATAACTCTTGGACAACACGGTAACTAGAATTTAAGTTTACTTAGGTCTACTGCCAAATCTAATTGCAGTATTTAACAAATGAATCCTTGAAGAGAAATTTTTATTCATTAATGGTTCATCAATAGTTGCAAAATGAATTGTGATGACTGATTTTGTCAATTACATCTCAATTTACAGAACTCACTGGGATGGAGACATCTGGCTGTCACTTTCTTCATCTTCTTTACATGGCTGTATTTTACCATAGTAAAGTGGATCACCAAGTGACTGTAAAATGGTCAGCTTTGTTTTCTGATACTGATTACCAGCTTCACATTCAAATACATAATCATCTTTTACATCCTGAAAAAGGCAGAGCATCCCAAATAAATACCTTCTCCAGTAAATATACAATCACAATTAACAAAAATCAGATGTAAATGGCATACGAACTTGTACCAGGCAATAGGAAGACACATGGCACTTGGGCTATAGACCTGTTCAAGACTGCTTAATAGAATAAAGCCCAGGAGTCTTTTTCAAATGGTACTTTGGAAATGAGAGTTCCAATGTGGTATTTAGTTAAGTAAGCTTGAGTGAAATACAGCAGAATTTCATATACTGGACATATGAATGCAAATATTAAATATTAAAAGGATAAAACTTTCAAAGGCAGATCTGTTTCTATCTGTCATTACTCTTTTTGCCATCGCTCATATACAACATCTCCTATCATTTCACTCCTAGATTCACGTAATTTAATGTATTATGCCTATTTCTCCCTATAAGAAGTTATTGCAATGAGGGAAACTTACATGGAACATTTCTTTTAAGAGACATCCTTAGAATAATTTACTAATTACTAATTTGAAATGGAAAACAAATCACAACTACCAATATGCAACCAAAACAAAAGTAAAAGTGCAGTTATGCATTAAGATTGCCCTTTAAAATGGAAACCATACTTTAGAAAAAACAAAACTAAATAGCTGTTCCTTCTTTTAATTCATTGAATCCCCCAGAAGGTTCTTAAAAATGAGGAAGGTCCCAAACTAAAGGCAACCGTACCTTATGTTTAATAAATTCAGATCTCAGATTAGAAAAAGCATCATTAGAAACGGAGAATGCAATGGTTACTTACATGGGCTGGCCAGACTGTTGGTTGTGAGTCATCAGATTTGATAGACTTTTCCACTTTAGCATATTTCTCCACCTAAGAAATCAAATTAAGAGACAGCAGATATAATGGAATCAGTATTATGACTAAAGAGAAAAATCTAAGTAACTTATTTTTTAGCACAAGAATCTTGAATCACTAATATCACCAACTACTTATGCTTAAGCATATCCATACGTAGCTTAACGTCGCTTATGTTCTGAGAAATGCATTGCTAGGCTATTTAGTCACTAGGTGAACATCACCCAGTGTACTTACATAAATCTAGATGGTATAGTCTACTACAGACCTAGGCTACGTAATACTAATATTATGAGACCACTGTCATATATGTAGTCTGTCATTGACTGAAACACCATTATGTGATGCATGACTGTAATTTAAAACTTTCCTGAGGACATCAGCATCATGGCGGAGTAAGCTTCCCCCTCTAAGACACAACAAAAAGGACATTCATATTCCAACAGAAGCTATTCACACAACACAAGGGATGTCTGAGGCACCCAGGCAGCCATACACCCGAGGACGGAGGTGCTGGAATCCCCAGAGGAAGTGGAAGGAGTTAAGAGGAACTCCTTTCCTTCTCAAGGACTTCAACTCAGAGACAGACCACGTAGCTCTCAGAGGAGGGGGAGGGGCGGCTTGCCACGTGAAAACCGGAGTTCTCCTAGACCCCTCACAGCCCGAGGGGATCCACCTACGGAGGGAGTGGAACTGTTGCGAGGGTAGTTTCAACAAGCTAGCCCCTCAGGAGTGCAGAGCACGAAAGCGAGGCGAGAAACCTACAAGATCAGGGAGGTGAAAGTAAGGGTCCCTCTCCCATCCGGGACCCCTGACTGGTGCTTCAGCACAGCAGCACTTCAGCTCAGCCCCATCCCCAGAGGCAGCGGGCCCCAGGCGCCCGGGCCCCACCAGCAGGGGCAGCGTGACCACGCCCCACCGCCACAGGTAGTGGCACCCAGGTGCCTGGGCCCGAACAGCAGTGAGGTGAGCCTGCGCCCCCACACCAGAGGCTGCGGCAGCTCAGGCCCCACCACACCACAGCCCCAGCTGCTCTGGCTGGACCAAGCGACAGCCCCAGCTCCTTGGGCTTGACCGCCCCCGGCACTGCTGGCTCCAGAGGCTTCGGCTTGGCCTGTGCTCAGGCTCCAGCTGACTTGGCGCCAGCAACTTCAGCCCACCGCACTCCAGTTCCAGCTTCTTTGGTGCAGTGGACTCCACTTCCAGCTTCTTTTGCCCAGCTGCGCTCCAGCTCCTCCTTCTTCGGCTCAGCACACTCCAGTTCCAGCTTCTTGGGTGCAACACACACCAGTTCACTTTCTTTGGCCCAGTGGTGCTCCAGCTCTTCCTTCTTTGGCCCACAGCACTCCAGTTCCAGCTGCTTCAGCCCAGCGGCACTCCAGACCCTGCTTCTTTGGCCCAGTGGCACTTCAGCTGCAGCTGCTTCAACCCACCCGCACCCGAGCCCCAGCTGCTTCGGCCTAGCCTAGCTGCGCTCGCAGGTCTCAGGTGTTCCCACGCCTCCCCCACAGCAGCCTCCACTCAGCCAAGCCTCAGATCAGCCGGGGGCTGATGAGAGTGCCCGCGGATTGAGGCGGGCCAGAATATACAGCCCTTGACCCCCACCCAGAGGCAGCAAGATGAAACTGAGACCACATATTTTCCCTATGAGGAAAAGTAAGCCAACACCAACAGGCACCATGCAAAAATATAATAAATCTCCAGACCAAAAGGAAAATGACAAGCACCCAGAAGTCAACCCGGAGAGCACGGAAATGTATAATCTTAACAACAGAGAATTCAAAATAGTCATCATAAAAAGGCTTAATGAAATACAAGAAAACACAGACAGACAATTCAGTGAAATCAGGAGTTTCTTCACAAAAGAGATTGAAACTGTAACAAAAAAAAAAAATCAATCAGAAATCTTGGAGATGAAAAACACAATATTGGAGACAAAGACAAATCTGGAAGCCTTAAGCACCAGAGCTGACAATGTGGAGGAAAGGATTAGCAATATTGAGGACAGCAATGCAGAAGTGCTCCAGATGGAGGAGGAAAGAGAACTAAGACTAAAAAGAAATGAAGAAACTCTCCAAAAAATATCCAACTCAATTAGGTAATCCAACATAAGGATTATAGGTATTCCAGAGGGAGAAGAGAGGGAAAAAGGAGCAGAGAACTTGATCAAAGAAATAATATCTGAGAACTTCCCAAACCTGGGGAAGGAACTGCAAACACCAGTGAATGAAATAAACAGACCTCCTAAATATACCTACATGAAAAGACCCTCTCCAAGGCATACAGTAGTAAAGCTGGCCAAAGTCAACAACAAAGAAAACATATTAAGGGCAGCTAGACAAAAAAAAAAAAAAAAAAAACCATACAAAGGATTTTGTATCAGGCTTTCAGCCCATTTCTCTACAGAAACTGTATAGGCTAGGAGAGAGTGGAATGATATATTGAAAATTCTGAAGGACAAAAACCTTCAGCCAAGAATACTCTACCCAGCAAAAATATCTGTCAGATATGATGGAGAAATAATAACTATCCCAGATAAACAAAAGCTAAGGGAGTTCATTGCCACAAGACCCCCACTACAAGAGGTGCTCAAGAAGGCCCTCAGCCCTGAAGAGAAAAAGAGAAAGGGGATTCAAAGTTTTGAACAAGGAGGAAAACAGGTCAACAAAACCAGAAAAATTGCAGTCCTCTATCAAAATAGATTAGCAAACACTTAATTATAAAAAAAGATCAAGGGAAGGGAAGCACCAAGCATAAATATAACCTCATCATGTTAAACACAAACTCACAACACAAGAAGGAATAAGATGTGACAACAATAACATAGAAGGGGAAGAGGAAAGGGATGGAATCGATTTAGTCTCAGGGAATAAGAGGCCATCAAAAAATGGACTATCACATCCAGGAGATTTTTTATACAAACCTCATGGTAACCACTAACCAAATAATCAGAACAGAATCACACATGATAAAGAAAGAGAAAACTAAGAGAACCCCCATACAGAACTACCAAACTAAATTGGAAGCCATGGGACGAAACACATGGGACGAGAAAAAAAAGAAACGCAAAAGAACCAGAAAAACAGCGATAAAATAACAACAAGCCCCCATATGTCAATAATTACCCTAAATGTAAATAGACTGAACTCTCCAATCAAAAGACACAGAGTGGTGGGATGGATTAAAAAACAAGACCCAACAATATGCTGCCTCCAGGAAACACATCTCAGCTCTAAAGACAAACACAGGCTCAGAAAAAAAGGATGGAAGACAATACTCCAAGCTAATGGCAAACAGAAGAAAGCAGGTGTTGCCATACTTATATCAGACAAAGTTGACTTCAAGATAAAACATGTAATGAGAGACAAAGAGGGGCATTACATAATGATAAAAGGGACACTCCACCAAGAAGACATATCACTTATAAATGTATATGCACCCAACACAAGAGCACCAAGGTACATAAAGCAACTATTAACAAACGTAAAATGAGATATTAACAACAACACAACAGCAGTAGGGGATCTTAACACTCCACTCTCATCAATGGACAGATCATCCAGACAGAAAATAAATAAGGAAATAACGGACCTAAACGAAAAACTAGATGAGATGGACTTAACAGACATATATAGAGCACTCCATCCAAACACAGCAGATTACATGTTCTTCTCAAGCGCGCATGGAACATTCTCAAGAATAGACCATATGTTGGGAAACAAGGCACGCTTACATAAATTTAAGAAGACTGAAATCATAACAAGCATCTTTTCAGACCTTAATGCCATGAAGTTAGAAATCAAATACAAGGAAAAAACCGGGTAAGTGACAAAGCTGTGGAGACTCAACAACATGCTACTAAAACCACCAATGGATCATTGACAAAATTAAAGGAGACATCAAAGCATATCTGGAGACAAATGAAAATGAAAATACACCATACCAACTCATATGGGATGCAGCAAAAGTGGTCCTGAGAGGGAAACTCATAGCAATACAGGCCCACCTTAACAAACAAGAAAAAGCCCAAATAAACAACCTCAAACTATGCCTAACAGAATTAGAAAAAGAAGAACAAAGCCTAAAGGCAGCAGGAGGGAAATAATAAAAATCAGAGCAGAAATAAATGAAATTGAAATTAAAAAAACAGTAGAAAGGATCAATGAAACAAAGAGCTGGTTCTTTGAGAAGATAAAGAAAATTGACAAACTCTTAGCCAGACTCACCAAGAAAAAAAAGAGAAGGCTCAAATAAATAAAATTAGAAAAGCAAAAGGAGAAATTACAACAGATACCACAGAAATACAAACGATTATAAGAGAATACTATGAAAAACCATATGCCAACAAATTGGACAATCTAGAAGAAATAGATAAATTCCTAGACTCATACAACCTCCCAAAACGGAATCAAGAAGAAATAGAGAACCTGAATACACCAATCACAAGTAAAGAGACTGAAACAATAATCAAAAACCTCCCAAAAAATAAAAGTCCAGGACCAAATGCCTTCTCTGGAAAATTTTACCACACATTCAAAGAAGACTTCAGAGCTATCCTTCTCAAACTATTCCAAAAAACAGAGGAAGATGGAACACTTCCCAACACATTCTAGGAGGCCAACATCACCCTGATACAAAAGCCAGGCAAAGACAATACTAAGAAGGAAAACTACAGACCAATATCCCTCATGAACACAGATGCAAAAATCCTCAACAAAATATTGGCAAACCGATTATAGCAACACATTAAGAAGATCATACAGGGGGCTGGCCCGGTGGCGCAAGCAGTTAAGTGCGCACACTCCACTGTGGCAGCCCAGCGTTCGCTGCTTCGGATCCCAGGCGTGCACCGACGCACTGCTTGGCAAGCCATGCTGTGGCTGCATCTCATATAAAGTGGAGGAAGATGGGCACGGATGTTAGCCCAGGGCCAGTCTTCCTCAGCAAAAAAAGAAGAGGATTGGCAGATGTTAGCACAGGGTTCATCTCCTCACAAAAAAAAAAAAAAAAAGATCATACATCATGATCAAGTGGGATTTATACCAGGGACATGGGGTGGTTCAACATCCACAAATCAATCAATGTGATACACTACATTAACAAAACGAGGAATAAAAAGCATATGATCATCTCAATAGATGCAGAGAAGGCTTTTGACAAGATCCAACATCCATTTATGATAAAAACTCTCAACAAAATGGGTATAGAAGGAAAGTACCTTAACATAATAAAGACCATATATGACAAACCCACAGCCAACATCATACTCAATAGGGAAGAACTGAAAGCCATCCCCCTGAAAACAGGGACAAGACAAGGGTGCCCGCTCTTGCCACTCTTATTCAACACACTACTGGAGGTTCTGGCCAGCAATTAGGCAAGAAAAAGGAATAAAAGGAATCCAAATAGGCAACAAAGAAGTGAAACTCTCGCTGTTTGCAGATGACATGATCTTATATATAGAAAACCCCAAAGAATCCATTGGAAAACTATTGGAAATAATCAACAGCTACAGCCGAGTGGCAGGGTACAAAATCAACTTACAGAAATCAGTTGCCTTTCTATATACCAACAACGAACTAACAGAAACAGAACTCAAGAAGACAATCCCATTTACAATTACAACAGAAAGAATAAAATATCTAGAAGTAAATTTAACTAAGGAAGTGAAAGTCCTATACAATGAAAACCATAAGACATTACTAAGTGAAATCAATGATGACATAAAGAAATGGAAAAATATTCCATGCACCTGGACTGGAAGAATAAACATTGTTAAAATGTCCATACTACCTAAAGCAATCTACAGATTCAATGCAATCCCAATCAGAATCCCAAGGACATTCTTCACAGAAATAGAACAAAGAATACTAGCATTCATATGGGGCAACAAAAGACCCTGTATAGTTGCAGAAATCCTGAAAAAGAAGAACAAGGCTGGAGGCATCACAATCCCTGACTTCAAAACATACTACAAAGCGACAGTAATTAAAACAGTATGGTACTGGTACAAAAACAGACACACAGATCAATAGAACAGAATTGAAAGCCCAGAAATAAAACCTCATATCTATGGGCAGCTAATCTTTGACAAAGGAGCTAAAGACATACAGTGGAGAAAGGAAAGTCTCTTCAATAAATGGTGCTGGGAAAACTGGACAGCCACTTGCAAAAGAATGAAACTAGAACATCTTCTTTCACCATACACAAAAATTAACTCAAAATGGATCAAAGACCTGAAAGTGAGACCTGCAAGTCTAAAACTGAAAGTCTAAAATATGGGTAGTACACTACTCATCATCAGCCATAAAGGGATCTTTTTGAATTCCATGTCTACTCAGTCAAGGGAAACAAAAGAAAAAATACACAAGTGGGACGTCATCAGATTAAAGAGCTTCTACAAGGCAAACGAAACCAGGATCAAAATGAATAGGGAACCCACCAGCTGGGAAAAAATATTTGCAAACCATATATCTGACAAGGGATTAATCTCCATAATATATAAAGAACTCACACAACTGAATAACAAAAAAACAAACAACCCAATCAAAAAATGGGCAGAGGAAATGAACAGACACTTCTCCAAAGAAGATATTATAGAGGGCCAATAATAGGCACATGAAAAGATGCTCAACATCACTAATCACCAGGGAAATGCAAATCAAAACAACACTTAGATATCATCTTACACCCGTTAGAATGGCTATAATCACCAAGACAAAAAGCAACAAATGCTGGAGAGGCTGTGGAGAAATGGGAACCCTAATCCATTGCTGGTGGGAATGCAAACTGGTGGGGATTCTATGGAAAACAGTATGGAGATTCCTCAAAAAATTAAAAATAGAAATACCTTATGATCCAGCTATCCCACTACTGAGTATCTACTCAAGGAACCTGAAATCAACAATCCAGAGTCTTATGCACCCCTATGTTCATTGCAGCATTATTCACTATAGCCAAGACATGCAAGCAACCCAAGTGTCCCTCGACTGATGAATGGATAAAGATGTAGTATATATATATATATACACCATGGAATACTACTCAGCCATAAAGAAAGACAAAATCTTCCCATTTACAACAACATGGATGGCCCTGGAAGGTATTATATTAAGTGAAATAAGCCAGAAAGAGAAAGACAAACAGTGCATGATTTCACTCATATGTGGAAGATAAACCAACATACGGACAGATAGAACTGTTTGGTGGTTACCATGGGCTAGGGGTATGGGGGGTGGGCACCAGGCGTGGAGGGAAGCACTTACATGGTGACTGATAAACAATAATGTACAACAAAATTTTCATGATAAAAAACTTTCCTGATGTATTCAATTAAACCAATTGGTTTTAAAAATAAAACATTTTGCCATTAAATAAATATAATAAACACAGCTGCTTTTTTGGACAGTGCCTCTTTTTACTCCTTAAGTTGATATCACATTTGTCTTTTAGAAAAATTGGAATGTCAGAGAGATGATTAGGACCAGGATCTTTTCCTTTGACTCGGTTCTTAATGGAACAGGAGTTGCTGTGTAACAGTGGGGACAAAACTGGAGACTAGGGAAGTTATATTAAAGTTGACAAAATTTTTGTAAACCTTTTCCATTTTCTAGTCAGACTTGGACCATATATTCCATATATCTCATACAAGCTCATGGGAATCAAATCTTCACACCTTCCTGGTAACCACAATCTTAAGAGTAACTTAGGCTCCCCTGGGCACTTGGTAACAATTTCAGACTTCCACGTCTCTCCCCTGGAGACTTTACTCAGTAAGTAGGTTTGAAGTGGGGATAGAAATCTGTATATTTAACTGGTACCCAAGATGATTCTTCTGATGGAGTCAGACTGAGAAACTCTTTATTAGGGCTTTGCTACTCAAAGTGTGGTCTGTGGACTCCAGTACCATGCAAACTACAAGCTCAGCAGCAGCATCTAAGGCCTCAGCACAACTGGCTGAATTGAAATCTGTACTTTAACAAGCAACCCAGGTGATTCGTATGTACACTAAAGTTTGTGAAGCACTGCTTTAGATAGCCAGCCTTCCCTCCAGAGATCAATTGCACTCTCTGGTATTTACACTAAACATCTCTTCTCAGGTCACCTTCCTTGAGGAGCATATAAATTACCAAAAGATAATGTGGCTTACTCCCTTCTGTTGTATATACATTCTACCTCTGATGCTTTCAGCTTTGTGCTTTTCACAATTTTTTTTTTTTTAATCACAGATAATAAGAATAGTACATGTGCTAGCCTGGGAAGGATGCGAAAGAAGAAGGGCAAACATCTGTTAAAATAACTAACCAACTGTAAAGAGCTGAGTGAAAAATAAAAAGGAACACAAGAAAAAGAAACAGGAAAATAAAAGGAATATGAGACCTCTCACCAAAAGATCTCTTTCCTGTCTTTGATCATTTACAGTTCACGTGAATTACCCATCAGCAAAGAATACCACCAGAGGTTCCTAATCTTGGCCACCGCTCCAATATTATTAATTAAAAAAATTTTTTTTTTGGTGAGGAAGATTGGCCCTGAGCTAATATCTGTGCCCATCTTCCTCTATTTTTTTGTATGTGGGATGCCGCCACAGCATGGCTTGATGAGCAGTGTGTAGGTGCACGCCCAGGATCCAAACCCGAAAACTCTGGACCACCGAAGTGGAGCGTGTGAATTTAACCACTATGCCACCAGGCCGGCCTTAATTTTAAAATTTGATCAGTTTGAAGAAAGAAGCATTATCAGGAAATCATGATGAAATACTCTGAAAAAAACCACAGGCATTTTATGCATATTATGTAATATGTACCATCTTTTTCCACATTTTGAAATTCTTTAGTTATTACTCCTGCTCTAAACACAGACCTACATTAAAGCATTATATTCTTATACAACTTAATGTGAAAGTAAAACATAGCTTCTAAAAATGACCAGTTGCTTTTTTTTTAAAAAAGAATTATTTTGTTTTTAAAAGATGTAACATTCCTTGTTTTCCAAAATTATAAGCTACTGTTAGCTAAACTTAGGAACCTTACATGAAAATAAGTGCAATTCATGAATTGACTTACATCCACTTCTGAAGGTATGGCCAAATTACAAGGACTCTGTTTCCACATATCTACACACTGAAAAATGAGAAACAGTGTAAATATACTGAAAATTCAAAATAAGGCAAGGCTTTTGGCATAGTAGTAAGTTTCATTTAAAAGAATACATACTTACATTTCCTGCTTTAGAAATTTTGAGGTCATAATGCTGACCTGCTTTTCTTTCCTTTCTTTTTTGTAAGAAATCAAGTAACTTTAGCTGAGGAGGAGGTGGACAATGAGACAGATCCTGCTGTCGATTCAGAGAGGACCTGGAATACCTCTTGAAACACCTGAAATATTAAGAAATTTGAACTAAACAAAGCTAATAAAAGAAACTCAGAATATACATGCATTTAAATTAAATTAATAAACATTAAATATGTAATTAAATCATAAACATCTGTAGAACACTATCACTGGCCAAGCAGTGTTCTAGGCACTGGTGAAACAAAAATGAACATGACAGACAAAATTGCTGCTACCACGGAGCTGTTAGCCCAGAGGGAAGACAGACAGTCACAAGTACACAGGTAAGATCGTTTCAGAAAGCAATAAATAGTAGGGAGAAAAAAAACAGGGAACTGTGGTAAGCGTAGGGACATTAGGTCCCCCAACATTAGGTTGGGGAAGGACTTTTTGAAGAAATGACATGTGAGCTGAGACGTGAATGATGAGAAGGAACTAGCTATGGAAAGATCAGGAAATGAGTATTTGAAGTAGAGAGAAGAATTTAAAAAGGTGGTGAGGCAGGAACAAACTTGGTTTGTTTTAAAAACAGAAAAAAAGGTAGGTGTGACTAGAGCACCAGGGCCCATAAAGGAGATGAGGTCAGAGAGAGACAGACAAGGGGCCTTGCAGATCAATGATAACATGTTTAGATTTAATGTGAAGTGTGAAGGGATGCTGTTAGGGGAATTTAAGCAAGTGGTGGCATGATCTACTTTGAGGTTTTTAAAAGAATACTCTGGTTAACCTATATGGTGAAAAGGCCAGAGGGGAGCAAACGTGGAAGCAGGAAGACCAGTTAGGTAGGAGTTTCTTATAGAAGTCAAGATGAAGATGGTGGCTTGGACTAAGGTATTAGAAGTGGGCATGGAGAGATGTGGACAGAGATACAAGGAGACTTTATAGGACTGCTGACAGATCCTATATGGACTGATTTCACTATTTCCAAAGCTGTACCTTTTCCTCAGCACATATTATTTCAATAGTAAATCAGGGAATTTAGAAATGGATAGGTTTTTTGAGAGCTTTCAAACTTGAAAAAAGATCCAAAATGGGCAACTCAAACAGTAATGTAAAGAGAACTTAGTGATAAGCCAACTATTACCTACAGTCCAAGTTAATATGTGCTCTTTTATTTTATTCAGAGATAGCTAAAACATTTGCAAACAAACTACTGTTATAAAAAGGCATTTAGTTATAGACTGATTTTTAAAACTGTGATATTTTCCCAAATCTTAAAAATAAGTTATAAATTGTTTTTTAAAAATGCTATTAAGAAAAATTAAATGGGTTACAGGATATGAGGGAGTAATAAAGAAATTGTTTCTGTTCATACTTGTCTTTTCTCAACCTCTATCTTTCGGGTGAACAGACTCTAAACTTCTAGGAAGTTTAAAAAGTTTAAGTTTAAGAAGTTTCTTCTTTAAAAGAATGTAGACGATGTATCACTTCAATATAAAGCAGAGAGAACACACAATGGAGAAAGGAAAGTCTCTTCAATGAATGGTGTTGGAAAAACTGGACAGCCGCATGCAAAATAATGAAAGTAGACCATTATCTTACACCATACACAAAAGTTAACTCAAATTGGATTAGAGACTTGAATGTAAGACCTGAAACGATGAAACTTCTAGAAGAAAACACATGCAGTATGCTCTTCACCATTGGTCTTAGCAGCATATTTTCAAGAACCATGTCTGACCAGGCAAGGGAAACAATAGAAAAAATAAACAAATGGGAATACATCAAACCAAAAAGCCTCTGCACAGCAAAGGAAACCATCAACAAAATGAAAAGACAACCTAACAAGTGGGAGAAGGTATTTGCAAACCACATATCTGATAATGGGTTAATCTCCCAAATATATAAAGAACTCACACAACTCAAGAACAAAAAAACTAACAACCCAATTAAAAAATGGGCAAAAGATCCAAACAGACATTTTTCCAAAGATATACAGATGGTCAACAGGCACATGAAAAGATGTTCAACATCACTAATTATCAGGGAAATGCAAATCAAAATTACAATGACGTATCACCTCACACCCGTCAGAATGGCTATAATTAACAAGACAGGAAATAACAAGTGTTGGAGAGGATGTGGAGAGAAGGGAACTCGCATACACTGCTGGTGGGAGTGCAAACTGATGCAGCCACTATGGAAAACAGTATGGAGATTCCTCAAAAAATTAAGAATCAAACTATCATACGATCCAGCTATTCCACTGCTGGGTATTTATCCAAAGAATGTGAAAACATGAATGCTTAACAATATATGCACCCCTATGTTCACTGCAGCATTACTCACAATAGCCAAGACTTGGAAGCAACCTAGGTGTCCATCAAGGGACGAATGGATAAAGAAGATGTGGTATACATACACAATGGACACTCAGTTGTAAGAAATGATGAAATCCACCCATTTGTGACAACATGGATGGACCTTGAGGGTTTTACGCTAAGTGAAATAAGTAAGAGGGAGAAAGTCAAATACCGTATTATCTCACTAATAAATAGAAGATAAAAACAACAACAAACACATAGAGACAGAGATTGGACCGGTGGTTACCAGAGGAGAAGGAAGGAGAGAGGAGGGTAAAAGGCGTGATTAGGCACATGTGTATGGTGATGGATTGTAATTAGTATTTGGGTGGTGAACATGATGTAATCTACACAGAAATCAAAATATAATGATGTACACCTGAAACTTCTATAATGTTATAAACCAGTGTTACCACAGTAAAAACAAAAACACAAAGATTCAGTTATGCAAGATGAATTAAGTTCTAGAGATCTGCTGTACAACATTGTGCTTTAGTTAGCAATACTGCACTGGACACTTAAAAATCTGTTAAGAAGGTAGATCTCATGTCAAGTGTTCTTACCCCAAAATAAAATATTTAAAAAATCAGAAAAAAAAATAAGGCAGAGTATTAAAAAATCCTAATACTTACACAAAAACAGTAATACAAGGCAATTAAAAATACTATTTTCAAACAAAAAAATCAGAGCACTTAACATACTGTACTTAACATACAGACCATAAATAGCAAAATTTAGAGCTACACGTCTAGGAGTATCTCTTGGTTTATCATTCCACAAATGTAACTACCGTTTCATTGGGCGCGTGTTCATCTTTTGCTTGTTATAGAGCAGTCTGTTTGCAGTGCAGGTTACAGCTATAGAAGGATCAAGACATAGTGGTTCAGCTGTTGCCAGGATCAGTTGGCTCTCAAGCAAAAGTTTGTCTTCCTGAAATGTATAAGAGCATGTCAATACCAGATTTAAGATTTTCAAATCATACTTACCACTTAATCTAGAAATAGTGCTTGGAACTCTGCTAAGGACTACAGTAAAATAGAGTATTTCAAGTTCCAACTTTAGCATGTAAACTTTAGAAATTTGAAAGCATAATCAAAGTACTAATGGAAATTTGTACAGCATACAAAATGGTCAAATTATAAGAGTGCCTATTCATTAATCAAACAAATACTTCACCACGTACCTACGATGTGTTAGGTACTGTTCTAGAAGCTGGGGATCAAGCAGTGAGCAAAACAAATAAAATCCTCTGCTCCTACAAAGCTTACAAAATCATGATGGATTGTAGCACTTTCAGTAACTAAGAGATAATGGTCGCACTCTACAGTCAGCTTCACTTCATTACAATAAAAATGACTACACTAATAATGTGTAAACCTTATAAACCAAATTCCAAAGTGCATACAAGCTTTTTACTGGTATCATGTAACTTACTTTACTGAACCCTATTTTTTCACTTAATCTCCGAAATATTTTAATAACTATAAACTTTTTGAAGTCAAACTAGTCAATTAATATTGCTGAATAAGAATTTTTGCAAAAAAAAAACCTTCCTCCTTTCAATAGTTCCATTCAACTTTTTATTATGGAAATTTTCAAAAATACATAAAAGCAGAAATGTAACGACACACATGTACCAACACCCAATTTCATTTAACTACTGTACTCTCTCAACCTTTTTCTGTTTTTGTTTTGCTGGAGTAATTCAAAATACATCTCTGACATATTTAACCTGAAATATTTCAGCATGCATTGCTAACTGCTAAGGACCTCTAATACCCAGTCTAGATTTAAATTTCTCGTTATTTCAAGAGTGTATTTTTTAGTTTGTTTGTTTGAATTTGAACTCAAACAAGGTCTATGTGTTGTATTTGGTTTTTCTCTCTCTCAAACATTTTTTTTATTCTGTAATGATCACCTCTTACCCCATTTTTTTTTTCTTTTCTCATGCAATTGATTTGTCGGATTTGACTAACTGCTTCCTCATGCTATCATTTAACTGGACCTAGCTAGTTGCTTCCTCATCATGCCCTTTAATTGCTTCCTTTCTATAGGAAATTTTCTATAGGACATTTCTTGAATTTCCTATAAAGTGTTAGATGTAGAGGCTTGATTTAATTCAGGTTCTATTTTTTAGACGTGTTTTCCATTAGTACTATTGTGTACTTTCTCATGCATCAGAAGGCACACAATGATGTGCCCCATTTTTACACAAGCGGGCTTAGTCACATCTCTGTATTATAACAATTCCCATGAACCTATAATCTAATGGTTGTTCACATCTAAGAATTACAGCTGTACACATTCAGTAAGATTTCCAAATTGATGATATTTTAAAAAGTTTATCATTTCTTTTGCACCTATTAGCTGGAATTTTTCTAAAGAAGAATTTTTCCTTAGGTAGTTAGAAGGCTACCTAACATACAGTTCATACAGGAAAGGCTGAATAAATGCTATTGTTTCTCCCTTTATCAGTCTTCAGAGTAAGAAACTGATACCCTAGCAACCTCCAATGATGACCAATGAGTTTTTTTATTACTGAATATTCTTTTAATAACTTTTAACCTTCTTTTGAATGAAAAGATTATAGCCCAAAGTAACATACACTTGATAGTTACTACTGAACTGAATTCTACTTTATAATATTTCAGATAGAATAACTGTCATTATTGATATTTTCTTTAGTAACTACTCCTCTCTATAGAAGCAGAGAAATAAGTGAACACTCCTGTGAGTGGGCACCTCAGATATACTGAGCCAGCAGTGGAGGGTTAACTGGCTATTTCAGGGGTAAGAGTGGTCCCCTAGTGCTGCAACCAGTATGAACGGCAAAAAACCTGGGCCGGCTTTAGAATCCTAGATAAAAGAAAATCAATATTTATTTGTACCCATGGTACAAACAAAACATTTTTCTTCTGTTTGAGAGGGGATAAAAAACCAAGTTTCACCATTAAGGCAGATCAAGTCAACCTGACCCTATTTCACCATGTCCTAAAGCAACTGGGACTGAACTATTTTAGTTCCTTGAGGAATTACTGCATGTATGAAGAGATCCTTAACTTCTAAAGCTCATACAGGTATCCCAAACTTTACTCATGAATAAAATTACGAGCAGAAAATATCTGTTGCTAAACTTAATGATAAGTATTGTTTCATCCTATATTTTGCCTGTTTGGGATTAAAAAACCAAACCACCAACCTGGGTCCACTTATGGTTATCACTTGTAATTGAATGTACATCACAGATTAAAGTCTAGAGGAAATAAAAATTTAAAAAACACATTAATGTATAGGCATACAAACATATAAAGACATTTAATAAATAAAACCCCAAATAAAATCTAAAACAATACTTCTTAAGTAAACATTCTTTACCTGCATTGTTGGACGTAAAAGAATGTGCCTACTTTGGTAACCAGGAGATTTCATATTACTGGATTGCCTGTAGTCACGTATTTCTGCTATGACACATCCACAATGAAAAATATTAACCTGTTTTGAGTGAAAATATTTAAGTAAATGTCATTTTTCAAAAGCCTAAATAAGTGGGTTTATATTGAATGTTTTAGGTTCTTTACATTATTATACAATGTTTCTGGCCACTCACATACTCTCAAACGGATGTCCCTGGTGGATTTACATAAACCTTTCAGAAGGAAAATAATTATGTTTATCACTATGACTCAAGAAGCAGCTTAAAACTGTTTAATGGTTTCTAGTTATAGATTGACTTTTTGGCATTTATACACTATTAATGTTATAAATCATTAGAACTGCTGTTCTTGACACTTACTGGCTCACTGTTATACTTTGCTAACTTCGTCATTGTTATAAACTGTCAATCAACCCTACCAGAGATTCAGCTATGTAACTGCTATATTTGCTCTGCTAGAATTTCCAAAAAACAGTCTTTATTAATAAGAGGAAGAAAGCTAACTATAAATTCAAATAATAATCTTCTGTTAAATATATTTTCTAATCATTTTTCTAAGTCCAAAGGTAAGAACTCTAATCATTCAAGTCTTGCTGATATCACTTGCCACAGTCACTCATAGTATTAGGTTTTTTCACCCATTCAGAACTTTTAGTGAGTACTGTGACCTCCATGTTATCAGTCATTATCATGCTCATGCTTTTAAACAACTATTTATTGAGCCACTAAAATGTGACCTATGTGCCAGGCACTATCCCAGAAGCTTCACAGATACTGTGGGTGAGACAACAACTGCTCTCAGTGTGGGAAGATAAGCAATTAACATGTACACAAATAAATAATTTTAGATAGTGATGAATGCTACAAAGGAAATAAAACAGGGAAGGGCTAATTTAGGTTATGTGCTCAGACAAAAACCTCTCTGAGAGAGTGATGTTTCAGCTGAGACCTGAACCCCAAAGGACCAGACATCTGGGACAGATCATTCCAGATAGAAGGAATAACAGATGAATAATGTAGGAATAAGCTTGGTGTGTTTTAGTACAGAAAGAAGGCACAGATGGCTGGAGTGTAGTGAGCGGGTACGAGAATCAGGAGGTGAAGACAAACAGGAAGGCAGGGATTTGTGCAATGAGGGGACACTAGACAACTTTAAGCAGGGAACTTTGTTTTTTTGCTTTTGTTCTTCTATTTTTGTTTTGTTAAGCTTAACTGGCTATCCACGGAGAACTGATTTCTGGAGTTCTAGAATGAAAGGAAGGAGTTCAGCAAGGTAACAATAGCAGGTCAACGATCACATATTTTGAAGGTACAGCTGACATGTGCTGAGAGACTGAATGTGAAAGGTGAGAGTAGGGTCATCCATTAGGTTGTTAACACTGGTAATGGAACTGGTTTGGGAGATAAAATAAAAAGTTCTGTTCTGTCATGTTAAGTTTAAAGAACCTGTTCTATATCCTAGTAAACATATAAGTTTGGACATTGGTGGAACAGTCATCGTGAGAGATAAGCAAGGGATTAAATGCCATTTTTAAACTCACAGCTGGTTGACATCATCCAGGGAGAATGTTACTAAAGAAAAGAGTGCCTAGGACTAAGCCCTGCACACATTTATGGGTGAAACAGAGAAGCAAGCAAGAATAGAGAGGGAAGAGGCAAACCAGGCATGTGACATCTCAGAATCCAAAAGAAGGGTGTTTCAAAGAGGAAGTAATCATATGCATTGAACTTTGCCAAGAGACCAAGTAAGATGAGAACAGAAAAGGATTTTGTTTTAAAGTTGAGAGACAGTACAATATGTTTGTATTCTTTACCTAATAGAGAGGGGAAAATAGAAGATAGAAGAGAGGGAGGTTATCGTTGAAAGTCCTTAAGGAGAAGGAGGAGAATCCAGAATACAAGTAGAAAGAGTGCCTTAGGAACAGCTTACTTCATTTTAATAGGAAGGCAGGAAGAAAGTGTGGACAGACATATGGGGATGCTGGTGGACCAGTGCTAGGAGGAAATGAGAGTTCCCATCTGATGGCTTCTTTTTCCTCAGTAAAGTACATAGTATGGGTGGAGTGAAGCCAAGGGAGTAATTTCTTCTATAATAACTTGATTGTAGCTATAGAGAGATTCCCAGTAGATGAGTTAATTGTTATATCAATTTTAGAAGAATCAACTAAACCTATATATTTCAGTACAGCCTAAAAGATAAATATCCCACAACAAACCAATTTTCATATAGCTATGTATGACGTCTCATTCCATGTTCTAAGCACTGTTGAGAACAGAATTAAATATCCTTTATCACAAAATGACATATAGTTGACAAATCTAAGGACATTTTAAACAGAAAAATTTTGTACCTGAGATTTTTCTAGGAGATCAACCAAAATAGGAGGTAATTCTTCTGCATCCAAATATTCAAGCAATTCTCCTTCTTCATAAGGCAGTCGAATGGTCTCAGAATCTTAATTTTAAAATATAGAAAATGATCAGGCTCACCTTTGAAAAGCCTAGGTGCGTAATTTAAATGACTTTTCATAAAAAAGAGAATAAAGCCAAAGGTTCTCCTAAAATCTTTAAGTCTTTTCTAAATGAATCACTTTACATACTGCTAAAAGACTTGATAAACTATATACAATTTTAGACCAGAAAGGAGAAAAATGCCTAACGTAATACGGAAAAACATCTGGCATAACAATCACAATACAAATCACAGAGAGCACTACAATAATCAGAATTGATACAATTCCAACATTGGTAACTGAAAGTTCCTTAAGACTGCTTAATCTAATCTGGAAACCAGAGTGATAATATGGTACCTTATCTCAAAAATGGTCACTTACTTATGAAATTCTCATGGTTTTACATTTTAGAATTATCAACACAAGAAAAAATTCTTAATTAGGTGAGTTCCTTGTAAAACCCATTTATCATCACCATATCAAATTTTCAGATGTCTCTTTAGTGAAATCTAAGAGTAATTTCTATTTTAAAACTGTCTTCAAATTCACATTAATAGAAATAAAATACTAACATATGAAAATTATTCAAAAGGCAGTGAGTCTGTTTAATTTTGAAGGTTTCAGACTCAAGAGTATATTCAAAATGCAGAAGAAAAAATGTAACTTAAAAAACACCTTATGCTATCCTAAAAAATAAACAGCAACAGAAAGGAAATTTTGACAATTATTTAAAAATTACCTCTTTTATAACTGAACTTCAAAGACCTATCTCAATTAGAATACTTTTCAAATGCATATTCAGGAAGGCTAATCATATTAAAGATAACTTTTAATATTCTAACAAAACATCATAAAGAGGAAAATTTGGGCTCAAAGTTTTCTTTTATCAAGTCATCACTGAGCTGAAGGACAGACCATTACTTCTAAAAGATAGCACATCCTGCCTGGAAGAGGGATTTTTGTGGCCATTGCTCTCTGGAGGGTCTTACCTGATCCATTTTTTCCCCTGAGCATCAGAGAATATCCCTCATTTCCTGGGTATAGGTTGACCACTAAACATGACAATGTCTCTTGCATAACAAGCTTTTCCAACAAGTTCACATTTCTTCTTAATTTCTGCTTTAAAAAGAAGCAGAGCTCATGAAAATAATCCAGCATAACCTTAACAAAAAATGCTACGATTTACAATAATCAGACCTGAACTAATCTTGTAGTGACCCTTCTACATTACGATCCTGAATATATGGGGAAGACTCACAAACACTACAGCCACCAAGTATGGAACATCTATCTAAACTCAATTTTGATCTATTTCTGTTTCATGCAAATTAACTCATATGACAAAGAAAAACCAGTGATTTATAAAACAAGAAAAATACTTAAATATACAATATGTACCTTTGAGTACATAAGTAGAAAATATTAAAATAAAAATATTTAAATAAGTAAAATGTAAAAATGTAAATATAAATATATAAAATGTATGTAAATATAAATGTAAATATATAAAACATAGATGTTATATAATTAGTTTCTATTAAGTCTATATAAATAAATCTATATAAATAAAGAATTTGGGGCACTCTCTTTGGTTGTACTGTTACAGATGCACATTTCTTAAATATTTTATAGCCTAAATTAGATCCAAACAAGTTCAAGAGCCTTAATTAGCTGAAATGTTAAACCTAAAAATATCTAATTGGTAAGAGAAAGAAATCTGAGCAATTTTCTTCAAATTACATTTAATAGCTCCTTAGAAACCACTATTAAAAAAAATCCATCAGGAAATATAATACATATATCAAAATTTATTATTTTAGAAATGCATATGATGTAAAAATGAAACCCAATTATAAATACAACAACTTCTTTCATCAAATTTTATTTACAAAAGATATCTGAGTCAACAGAATATTTCTGCAGGATCTCAAAAAACAAATGCGTTTAGTATCTTATCTTAAATATATATATAGTCATATGCAGAGAGAAATGATAAATTCTTGATCTAATGTCACCATAGAATAAAAAAACTACATTTTGGGGAAAAAAAAAAAAAAGGCAAAACAACTTTTAACCACTTTGATGTTTAAAAAAAAGCTAGTAGTGGCCGGCTCCGTGGCTTAGCAGTTAAGTGCGCACCTGGCGGCCCGGGTTTGGATCCCGGGCGCGCACCAACGCACTGCTTCACCGGCCATGCTGAGGCAGTGTCCCACGTACAGCAACTGGACGGATGTGCAACTATGACATACAGCTATCTACTGGGACTTTGGGGGAAAAAAAGAGGAGGACTGGCAATAGATGTTAGCTCAGAGCCAGTCTGCCTCAGCAAAAAGAAGAGGATTGGCATGGATGTTAGCTCAGGGCTGATCTTCCTGACAAAAAAAAAAGAAAACTAGTTGGTTCCCATTTAGTACTGGGGTGAAAGGGCCAGACAGTATTTTAGGCTTGTGGGTCATATGGTGTACGTTGCAACTACTCAACTCTGCTGTTGTACCTCGCAATTAGCCACAGACAAGACATAAACCAATGCGTGTGGCTAGATTCCAATAAAACTTCATTTACAAAAACATGGCTGGCAGACAATCGTTGCCAACCCCAATTTAGAATGTTTATTTATGTATCTCTCCTATTTAGTTCTGTCTCTGAGGTGATGGATATGTTCATTATACTGATTGTGGTGAAAGTTTCATGGGTGTATACATATCAAAACTAATACTTTAAATACGTACAATTTATCGTATGTCAATTATACCTCAATAAAACTTATGGAAAACATACCATAAGATTTATTCATAGTTTAACAATCATTTTTTCCCCCCTAATGTTAAGATTTTAAAGGCTAGATACTACTGAAATGCCATTAATTTTTTGCCTAAAAGGTATTTACCTTTTAAGATAGACAAGAGAAGCTCATAGAGCCCTTTAGGCCCTTACAACTCAAAGGTCCAAAAGATGTCAATAAACCAATTTCTATTACATTTCTACTGCCCATACTTTTATGCTAAATAAACATGAATTAAGTTAACCTGGCCTTGAACTAATTTTTGTGACCAAATTCACCTTATTGTCACACTTGAATTTCCTACGTGTCCTGTAATAGCTTTAACTTTCCAGTGCAAATCACCATGAGGAAATAGGCTACTTTTCTTCTCCTGTCTTTAGTCTACCTACAAATCACTTCGCAGGGGGAGAAAGAAGCAAAAGATAACATACAGGGTGGCTTTCTTTCTTCTGACTTCCCAATGAGATATTCTGTTCCTCAGTAAACACTGTTTCCTTCTCCTACCTAAGCAGGTGCTCTCTGCCTGAAGCCAGATGAGCCAGGGCTCTTGGTCAGTTGCAGAACTGGCTAGAGTCTGGCTAGAAAACATGTTAGCTCACTCACAAAATATAAAATCATTATCTCCTTCAAAGCTAACTCCTTCAAATGTCTCTCCTCCTCTACATTTCAGAAGTCATAATAACATAAAAATGTATACTTACCTTAACCTCAGGCTCTTTTTCACATTCTTCAATATATAAGTCATAAAGTTTTTGAAATACAGATTTTCTAAAATTTAATAAAGACAATATACAAAATAATGTGAATATTATAATTGTAAAATAAACTTTACTTTGAATTTTTTGTTAATTTTTTCCCAATTTCCCAAAAATTGGGTGTGGATATGGTAGCTTAGAAATTTCTAATACATGCAAAGTACCTGTAATACAACATTTTTAGCATAGAGGCTAGTACGAGTGCAATAAATGGTGGCTAGCATCATATTTCAATAAGTCTAAGATATCATCAATTAATTAAGTATTCATACCTTCCACTAGATAGGTACTTCCTTTTAGGAGGTCTCTGTCGGGCACTTTCAATGACATACTAAAAAAGAAAAGTTTATGAAAACAGCTTGCTTTTTGCTTAGTGCATGAACAACTGTATTAAGTATATTTAAAACATGTGTAAGGCTAAAAAGGCTATTCAGTCACTCAAGTCTTTGATTCATATTAAATTATACCTCGTAGGAAAAACTACTTAACTTCTAAATATATGTTACAAACAAATGAAATTTAAACTGCACTAAAATTTAGCACGATATTTCAATGCTATAAGCAAAATCATATAGTTTCACAACTGTGATTTCATGGGTCAGAAATATTCTCAATGTATGTTCTATGGCTGTTCAGAATATGCATAGCATATCTAATTGCAAGTACTCTATATATTTTTGAGCTATTTTCCCCTTTAATATAGGATATAGAAAACCTGTCAAAACAAGAAAACATAATTTCAGAAATTCTATATCCTTGTTCAAATACTATTTATTCCACAACATTATTATCTGAGGATTCCAAGTAACAGATAATCCAAACATCACCTGGTATTTTTATATATTTACAGCAAAATTATTTGCATACTTTCCTACAATAATATTAATGTACTACTTTGACAATCACATACAAACTGAGGTTTGTCAAAGACAACATTTCAATATGTAACTTAGTCATGCCTTACCTCTGCACGATCCAAAGCTAGTTCTAAAGCTTGCTGCTGTAAAAAGTAAATAGTGTATTTGATAATATTGTTATTTTCACAAAAGATAATTTAATATACATATAACATCTCTAATTAAGTGTTTAAATGTTTTATTTTCTAAAACAAGTCTAACATATTTTCCTTTATTTCTCTCCTCCACCCACTCCATCGTATGCTCAAGACAGAGTAGAAAGAAAAAATATGGCAGTCTTGGGCACCTGATTATGACAACAAATTAGGTAAGAAAAGCTAAAATGGTTTTCTCTGGCCAGTGCTTGTGAGGTTGATATAGGGCCGACGGTTGGTTATGGTAAGTACTACCGTTTTATAAACTTTTAACTTCTTTAATAGTATAAGAGCACCATTCAGGAAAATATACTGGCCATCAAGTATGCCATTAAAGTAAAGTGAAGACTAAACCCTCCTAATCTGCTAGGAATCCTGAAAATGGTGGTGCTGTTATGCTGGGTAGCTAACATTAACTTAGAATCTATAATATAATGTTTCTAGGTCAGTGCCTAGTAGATATGCAAGAAATGATGGCTATCACCACCATGTTTCAATGACTTTAAGATACCATCAATTATAAGCACGCATCATTATTTTAGGTAACATCAAGAAAGAAAAAAGTGCCGCCAATCACAATTGTAAGATATCACTGATTGTAGACTCATCAATTCAGTAATATTAAACTGTAAAAGAAAATTCATCTCGGAATTGATCAAATATATTATTATTACTACATGTACAGTTTACTGTAGATCCCCACTCCTCATCCATTTCTTGAAGACCTTATTTTAAGGCAAGAGGGAGAAATAACAAGGTAAGTTCTGTTTTCCTCATTCGTAAAGCCTTCCTTTGTAACGACACCTAAGAATAAAAAGTACTAAGTTTTAAACAAAATTAAGCAAATATTACACCAATGATTTCTCTTTCTCATTTTGTGGTTTGAGTACCACATGGGGTTATAGTATTTTTCACTTACAATGACAGTCATTTTAAATTCCAATGAGAGGCACAGAACTTGCACTTTTTTTTTTTTGGTGAGGAAGATCAGCCCCGAGCTAACATCCGATGCCAATCCTCCTCCCTTTGCTGAGGAAGACTGGCCCTGAGCTAACATTCGTCCCATTCATCTACTTTATATGGGACGCCGCCACAGCATGGCTTGACAAGCGGTAACTCGGTGCATGCCTGGGATCCGAACCTGCGAACCCCGGGCTGCCGAAGTGGAGCACACACTCTTAACTGCTTGTGCCACTGGGCCGGCCCTAGAATTTTCATTTTTTATTTACAAGGACCTAAATATTTGTTTTATTTTGTAGACTCTAATAATTCAACCTACCAAGTTGCACGGGGTAAAAATTCTCAGCACCCATCAAAATCCTAACAGGGTAATGGGAAGAATAAATATTGCCAGCCTTTGGTAATCATGGAAAGGTTTAAGTGACCCTGCCACCGTAGTCCTAAGGATGGAGAATTCATATGTTTACAAAAATAGCCAGCCTTTTTAGACTGTAATAAAAAACAACCCACATTATCAAACACCTAAAACGTAATAAGTGAAAAAAGTCTGAAATTTGCCATCATTTCAAAAGGTTCAGTTAAAATAAATTTATATGAATTTATTTAAAAATCTTATAAGGAGCAGATTCCCAATGAAACTGGTTCCCAGGATTCAAGATGACATTCTTGAGTATAAACCATTTTCCAGCACAAAAATATAACTCTGGATATATACTCTTGACAAATACATAAGGTTCTTAGAATTATTTCGGCCATAAAACCTTAAAGTAAGTTTATATAAAAAATTATAATAAAAACAATCAAATATATACTCTAGGACAATTTTAAGTAGTCTTCTCAAGTGACTATTTCCTCCTCTGAAATCAAAACTTCAAAAGGTCTAAGGCTAAGTCAGAATCCCACTGGCAACAGCTCCACTTTTCTCTAACAGGGCAGAGAAAGACAAGCAAGATCCCAAGAGGAGAAGGAAGATAAATGTTTTCTGAGGTTTATTCAACACGGTGGTCAGTGTTCATTTATTCTCTCATTGTCAAATGCTGCTGCTGCTTTGACACATTAGAAAGTGATTCTTTCCGTCTTTTAAGTTTTTAATGGCAAAAGTTAAATGCCCAGCCCTCAGTATGTTTAGTGACTGTAAGTCAGTGAACAGAAATGTGCCATCAGAAGGCTAACAATGATGCTGCCTAAAAAGTCATTTGCAGTAAGCAGGTTACATTTGTTTGTAAATTAAAAAAAAAAAAATCTAAATTAAGACGAACTTTAAAACACGAGAAACCTGTGCTCCCCAAATTATTTGTATTTATACGCACCCTCCTTGCCAATGATTTGGACTACGGTAAAGTAAACAGAAGTAAACATTTTTTAACGCTTCACAAAGATAAGAACAGATAGATTATCTGTATAACTTGGATATGATAATTATAACACTAAATTGAGAGATGAACCTCCTATTTTGTAGATTTGTAGATCAGCAATGTGACTGCTAAGTAATTTCCTGGTTAGGGTAACTTTGGCAGCTTTTAAGACTATTTCTGTACCTATAATAAAAATATTTTTACGGAGATGAAGGAAGAATACATTCTAAAACACAAATATGAACATACTGAGCTGTAGCTTACCATTGTGGTACAAAAAAACGGGTCCAAAAAGAAGAGAAAACTTATGTGCGTTGATGAAGTGGGATGAAAACCATGTCTTGAATATCAATCTTATAGTACTGTAAAAGCAAAAACAAAAACCCCATATTAACATAAAGCTATTAAGAGAAACGAGATTCAGTAACTAACTAGAAAAATTATTTGAGGCATATATATTTCTAACACTCTTTTTAATAATCAGCAACAACAAAATTCACGTACCACGATCTATCCATTCATTGTCGAGAAGTATAGTTTTAACTAGGTAGGGCAAAATACAGTTTGCAGGTTAAAATCATTACTCACTTTCTTCAAAAATATTTAACATCCAGGAGAGAAAAGAATAAATGTTTTTGAATTTCTTCTATCATCATTGTTGCTGCTCTCATTGTTCCTCGGATTATTTTGAAAACCTGCTCACTGGCTTTGGTCACAGTAAGGTTCACTTTACAAATCATACATCCCATCATATCTGCTGACAGAAGTCCTCTAACGATATTCCGTCAAATACCCCAGGCTACATCTTGCAGATGCAGCTCCAGTCCCTCCAGCCCCTGCCCTCCTCAAGCAAACCTGATACACTTCTGAAGAACCTCATTCCTCTGACACACAGGTTCTCGCCCTGTCTACAACACAGAGTAACCTGGGGAGCTTTAAAAAGTGGGATATCCATGCCTTACCCTCCAGAGATTCTGGCTAAGTGGTCTGGAGTAGAGCCCAGAAATCAGCATTTTTGGAGCTTCCCAGGTGATTCAAAGGTGCTGCCAGTGCTGAAGTCTGCTGCTGTATCCTTTCTGCCTCCCACAGAGAGGTACATGTCTGCTCTGAGAGTGATGCCAAAAAAGCTTATTTTTAATCTTATTCTTTACCTAACTCCCTGTAACCCAGACACAGCTGGGCTAAAAGCACATCATCAAGTGACAGAAAACAGTATTTCCCACGTAAAAATTGTTTTGGTTTGTTTTTGGCAAACCCAAAACTTAGGTTTTGCAGTTTCAGTTTAAAACAAAAAAAAAAAGGGAAGAAAACAGGAAAAAAAACAAACCCACCAAAAAGTGACAGGCACCATACCGGTTCCAGGAATAATCATTAAAAAAACGAATAAGATATTAATCTTACCCTCGAAGAGCTCATAGGAGACTTAAGATGAATTAAACTGAAAAAATTTTGACCAGTGATTCTAAAGATGAAGGTACACTATCTACAGGCAAAATGCGATGACTTTAAAACTAAATCTCTCCTCACTAAATTGGGGTGGATGGGGCAGAGGAAAGTTTAGTGACTTTAAATTAACTACTACAGACCAAAACCAGTAACTACGTACACCACTTACAAAGCAAACATTCTGACTGTATAGGGAATTTACTAGAATCCTGTGAGAAAACAACTGTAATCACTGTCGTTTCCATTTTACAGAATAAGGCACTCAGAACAACTTTCCCAAGACCACACAACTATACTGGAATTCAGACCTCTCTCAATTTTTAATCTTAGATTCTTTCTACTAAATCTTAGAACCGTCAGACCACTGAATCCAGCGTCCGTTTTTAGATTTTTTAAAAGCAGAGCATTTAAAATAAAAACTCGATTCTGCTTAGACTAATACATTTTTTTCTTAATTTTGACCTAACTTTACATCATGGTTGTCAACATTCGTACACTGTACTCAAATTTCGAAAATCTTCCTATTTTGAGTCCTACCAGGAACCTGAACGTATTGTTTCAGGGAAACGCAGCCTCTCCCGTGCGGCGGTTACGGGAGATGGCTTCCAGGGGCAGCTCTTCACCAAGTTCATTACTGAACGCCCGGTAAACATGGCGAGGACCAGTAATTAATCCAATTCTAAATGTCGCAATCGATTCTACTGATTTCCCTGATCGACCTGAGTCTCTTCCAACCGCTCGAGCTTTTCTAACAACTTACGTTTTACCTACAAAACGCCGCAACGTAACAGCGGAGCGAACAGCCTTTATTCAACATTGACCCCAAGACACCCGCCCCAAAGCGCTAAGACAAATTCTTGCGAGTTCCCGGAAATAACTGGAACCCAAAATTCAAAAATAAAATGAAAAGCGTGGTTTGCCAGCACCTCAAGAGGCAACGGAGGCGACCGCAGGGAGCGCGGCTAGCTCGGCCCGGCCCACCGCGTCTCCAGGGACACCGTCTTCCTCCCGCGGGCTCCGGAAAGCAGCGAACAGCCACTCGGGAAGCCGCTCGCTCACCTCTGACCCCGTCCAGATCTCGCGCGCCTAACCCGCCCGCCGCCGGGCCGCCACTCGCCCGCGCCGCCGCCCACC